TTCCAGGAGACTGCTGAACTGCGCGGCGTGAATATCTGGTTTCTTTGGAACACGGTATAGAACATGAGACTGCGAGATGTGAGATTTTGATATTCTGTGTCCCTAGTGAAATCTTGAATGGAAACGAAGCTACTATTGGAGGATGTGTCAGAAAAACATGAAACATGGGCGGGATGAGGTCTGTGCTTCAAGGCGATTTTGCTTTTATTCGTCGAGATAGACAATATTGTAAGACACAGCATCTAAGCCAAATGGTGAAGATACTTAAAGCTCGACAGATTGAATATCAATCGATTGTACCTTTTCATCCCGACTACAGACAAAGAGGCCTTCAAAAAGTAAAAAGAAAAAAACAATGTTTATAAAAAATATCGACATCAGCAGGATTCGAACCTGCGCGGGAAATCCCAATGCATAAGCCCGAATTATTCGAGTGCATCGCCTTAACCACTCGGCCACAATGCCTATTATGCAATTCTGAGCGTAACTGAACACTAATTTGTTTGCTCCATTATTAGTGGAAGGTATAATTTCCTTCACAAAGTCATATAATTTATACATAACTTACCATTCTAATGACTCACAATGTATTCATATCTGTTAATCATGAAGTTAGTCCAACTCCCATTATATTATATAGTTTTGCCCCTTTAATCAGATGAATCTACCAAAAAAAAAAAATACAAATAAGGTCACCAACAACACCAAGACATCCAGAATCTTGTACTCAACAATTCACCACCAAAAGGGATCAACCATCCAATACTGGCCGAGCATCGGACCAATCTTAGCACGAACAGCCAACAAAATAATGAGTACAGTCTATCTACCAGAAAGCCTTAGTCAAGTATGGATGTCCCTCATCGGACACCCTTCAAAACAACGATAGCTGGTACAATCAGTACCTTAGAATACGAATGTTTCACCACATGAACAAAATCGTATCGAACGACGAACAAGCCAGGCTAAGACATATAGCTACCTCCGAATGGCTGGCTAACGTTATAATTGACCTCATCCTGGACAATCCCCCCCCTAGACGCTTGATAATGGACCGAATCAAACAACAACTTCAACACGCTATATCTTTCAATAAGTTTGACGACTCCCAGCCGACAACTCATTGGAGAACTTAACATCTACCAAAAAAATACTACGAACTTTAGCCACGTCCAACATGGTAGGAATACTCACACTTGCCATAGATTACTAAAGAGAGCTGCCAGAAGTCTCTCAAATGAAATTGTATGATTCTCTTCACCCCTCAAAAGCTCTTTTAAGCAAGTAAAGCAAACCCCGATAATGTCACAGCGCTTTGTTATCTTAGGTCCAGCGGTCCGTCGAAGCAAACGGTGGAAACACTGAATTTTGCCCAGTTGACCCCCTTTCTTAGAATACTTAAATATTTCATCAGGTATTTGAAAAGATGAGAGCTGGGGAAGGGCTGATCTTGTTGAGATTTGGCATAGCTTCAGATGAATCTAACAAAAAAAAATTGAGCCGAAGAGACGTCAAAGACAGCGCATTATGATGAGGCCATCAAAACTTTATTCCAGCCTAAAAGAAATGACACAACATTATTCAGAATACAATGTTTTGATTAATCTTTCAGTCTTGTATGAAACCTCGTTGGTGCTGGCTTACTAGCTTGGGGACAATTTTTTGAACTCTGGAATCAAGCGCTTTTAAAATGATTTTTAGGGCTGTGTTGCAGAGTATAATGGATCTTTGATCTTTTTTATCTGCTGAAATCGACTATCCTCTTCTTGGAATAAAGACTATTAGTACTAAACGAAGGCTTTCTGGTTTTTAACCTGTAATCATTATTTAGTTGGTATTTTGTTAGCAATTCATGCTTGGATTGGTCCAATACTCGGCAAGTAACGCCCTTCGCAGTTATCAAAAAGATCCCACCTGGTTGTTCCATTATGATCAGTAGTATTAGTCGAGACGCTGGGCACTCAAATCGCAATTTTACAAGAAGTATTTGCATGTATTTCCCCATACGTAACTAGATGTGTGTCAAGAGGGCCGTCCATGCCGTGTTCAACGAAAGTAGGCGGGCCGAGTTTCCACACTAAGTACATATCTGAGAATTTTCAAAGTTTTTTTGTATAATATCTTATTGTTTGGTTTCTTCCATCAGATGAGTTTCTCAAAAAGAAAAATCAATATGTTGTTGCCTTTCAAATTGGGCGTGCGAATAATAATGCTGCCATATACTGTCATCTAACTCACTTTCAATAGTATCTGAATTTATTCTCTTCTTAGGTTAATTTCTCAAGAAACATTATATTTAAGGGTGTCATTGAGGGTTGTGTAAACCCCATCATTAACAAAAAATAATAAAGGAAACACATATACAAAAAAAAGGAGAAAAAATAGATCGCAACATTGACTCAGGTGAGAAGGCGCGGGCACCAATTCACGAAATCTTCCAAAGGTGTGACACCCCTCAAAAAGACTTCTGTCCTTTGATTTCTTTTTTGGTAAAATCATCTGATTGAATGAACGATCTCAACCCTTTACATCATACAATCTATATCTTTTGTGTCCGATGTACCAGTTAGTGTTTTATACAGGCGCGCTTACAAAAAATACCGTTTTTGCGGACTTCTGGTATATTTGATCTTCTCAAACAAATGCTCAGTTCCGCCCGCGTGGCCTAATTGGTTAAGGTACTGTTTTCCGGAGACAGTGATTGCGTGTTCGAGTCCCGCCGTGGGTTATTTTTTTTTAATTAAACAAATTGTACACAAAGATTGCAAAATTGTGCTTCGATATTTCTTTCGTGAAGAGTTTTCAGCAAAACATTTCTTGGCTTGGGAAAGCAGGGAGCAAAGCATCTGTGAGAAAATCTTCAAATCCTTGAGCCATAAAAACAAAAAGCACAAACCACGATATTCCAGCACTCTTCTGGAAAGCAATATATAAAGCGGAATGATCAAACTGTTCAGTCTATTGTCCCTTCGCTACTTCAAATTTGGATCACGTTTTCCCCATCTGACTTCATCATAGGTGACATCGACATTCAAGTATTATTCTTGCTTACACATCGGCTCTACAAATGGAGACGGCACAGATGATTTCCTTGTCCCTCTGCAAAAAAATAATTGCGGAACAGATGAAGACTGGCTCTGGTGGACACATTTCGAAGAAGTTCTGTAAGTTTAAATCTGTTTGTCATCACGATCGTCATAGTATATACCCGACGATGTGGCGAGTGACAGGGTTCTTGAGTCCTCTCTGTCCTTATGAGTTCAGGCGACTACTATAATAGACTTCTTGTCCTAGAAAAAAATAATCACTTCATGAAAAGAATTTATCAAAAGCGAATGTTCTGGAAAGACTTGTATACAATAACTAGCAGAAGATTCCATTCATTCTCTAGTTCAACCCACCACAAATATATAGCAAACAAAACACATCTTTCATACTATGCTCACTTAATACGTCTCATATCTGACTATTCTTGTATTAAACATACTTCCTAGGAGACCTCTGTACTAATAGCGTTGAAGTATTCCTTTAAACAGACGATTCCATGGTCGAAGTTCTGACAAACTTATTAGGTGAAGGAAACAAAAACTCTTGTTTCCATACCGCCCTTTCTCTCGGATAACCAGGAAATGTATCCTTCTTTCGTCACTGAAGTCTTTTCATAAATTTTTTTAGACAGTTCTTTGCCTGGAATTACCTTTTCTGAATCATTTGATTACCAAGAACACCTGACACCTGCAGTTTGACTATGGCGATATATTATGAGTCACGTGATGTCCCCCAATTCGAAGTCTCTTAGCGTGTACTTAATAGCGTATGTGTTTAACACGAAGTTTTGCCTTTTTTTCATATTCAATTTATCTCGCTGAACGAAAAAAACTCTAGCCGAAAGAAATAGGTCATGATTTTGTTGTTCCTGTTTTTTTATGCCTGTTTGCAGTTTTCATTCTTGTCACAAATTCGCGTATTGTTAAATAAGTCGACGAAACGCGAGTGGTCGACCAATAAATTACTTGAGATATTTCTCCAACAAACTATTTTTTGCTTTTTTTCTTGAAAATTAAACCTGAATGAAATCAGTGCAAAGTTCTATGTGTCCAGAATATTCTAGAATTATGCCCCAGCATAAATATTGTAGTGGACTATCGAACACGCTACCTCATATGTTTATGCTCAGACACGTGACGTGCTTATCGCGTGAGCAGGTAAAAAAAATATTTTCGCTTTCTGCAAAACAAAAAACTACAGGTAATTTCCTAGCCTTCAACAACTTTCAACACTAATCTAGAAGACATGTTTGAACAGCTGGCTGATGAATGGTGGGTGAGGGCAGTGTACGATGTCTTCAAAGAAAAATATGACAATGCTTGTCCGGACATTCGTTACATCTTGTATTTTTGTTTCTTACAACTTTACACTCTTAAGGCTTTCCGTCAGCTGGAACTTAATCGTCAAAAAGCAGGGGAAAAACAGTAATTCTAAAGACGTTCGATACATCTACAACTGAAAAAACACGGGACGACAAGCCATCTCTTGCATATATCTTGTTGGAACATTATTTTAACTCATATGTATTTCATTAAGAAGGCAAAAATAGGAGACCCACCAAATCCGGAAATACGAACGAACCACCTCAGTTGGGCATGTTTATCTCACAATAATCCTCTGGAGGATCCTGGATCAAGAAAATGTTCTTCAGCTAGCGGATATATGGGAATTGGAATCATGAACCTCGCATAGAATTACCAACACACTATCCACAACAGGAATGAGACGAAAATGCCTTAATTTTCTCCTGATATGAACCCAAAAGGGTATTTCAAGGCATTCAATATCTACTTGCTAGAAGCTCAATACAAACTCTTGTTTATTTTGTCCCCTAACTGGAGCGACCACACCGTATGATCCAAGCTTTTTTTAAAGAAAATGGATGAATCTTAAAACTTAAGAGTGAAGTATGTACCATTAATGAACAGGTTGCCATTGTCGTACTCTAGACGGCTTCAAACATTGTGGATGAATATGCATAGAAAGTTGTTGGCGATCCACTATAATGTAATTGTTGCAGTTCAGTGAAATACTCATAGGTAAGACGGGTGATATTACTTGTTTCACAGCCCCATTATCCATACTTCGCAAAGACCAGTGAATAGACTAGCTGACTACACTCACTCTTCATACCCAGAATCTGGAATTGGCAAGCCGTTTCTCCCAATTTTTCCTTTTAAATCTATCTCTTTTCCTCGCAAAATGAATTTGAGGGTAATAAGTTTTGCGCATCAAAAATTTTTAAGTTGTCTTGCTGAAGCGATTTTTTCTTTCTATTTCAAATTTATGGATAATGTTCCTCGTATCTTAGTGATGAGTTTTCGAATCATCTCGATGATTCATAGCCCTGCCCGAAACTGCAAACCTCATGACAACTACTGGGTCAACTCAGCTTTGATGTCTCAAGGGTCAAGTATCTACAGTGCTCTCATTCTAGCTACATTTGCTGAACCTGGATAACTGGTGCATATTTTTCGAAAGCACCATCTGACATTTTGAACCCTACACCCCGAAGAAGCCTTCACTGGCTGATCACACACATCCATACATTTCAGGAAAACCCCAGGTTTACATCTTCCTCCAAATTTAATACTTCCTTTCATCCCATCTGATAATTTTAACGAAACTCTAAAAAATTTGTAGTCTCCCTGGTCAACTCTAAGATACGTGCTCTGTATCAAAATGGAACCAGCCCCTCTCCGTTAGTCACGGCCTGGGTAACTTTCTTTGCGTACATCTACTTTGAAATTGTGATTATAGGATTGTAAGATATGACTCAAAAATATTTGCTTCGCTAAACTTGAAGAATAATAAAGGGGCATCTTTCTGTAACGTGCTGTCCTCGAATCAACAACTTGAGAATTGTGTTTCTTAAAACTTGACGGATTCAATATCAATAAACTGTACCTTTTATCGCGATTACAGACAAAGAGGCCTTCAAACAGAAAGAACAATTCAAAAAATAGCGACATCAGCAGGATTCGAACCTGCGCGGGAAATCCCAATGCATAAGCCCGAATTATTCGAGTGCATCGCCTTAACCACTCGGCCACAATGCCTTTTTGTGTTGTTCAGTAAAGTGAACAAGCCATATTAGTAGCTGTCAAAATGAATTAGTCGACTAGATACGTGATGATTTGCTTAAGAGAGCTCACTTGTGATTAGTAACAAACGAAAGGTATTCAGTTGTAGTATTTAAGTATAGTAATGTCCCGCACAGGACCCTCCCATGCGAAACATTGGGTTTTTAATGTCATCTTTGCACACACCAAATCCACAGCAATGGGGACGCCACAGACGCTTTCCTTATCCATCTCTACAAAAGCTAGGAAACCTTCCAAATACTGGTTGCAAGAGCAAAAATTGAATCTACCAAAAACGAAAAAAAAGAAGTGTTGGAACGAAATGTTGGCTCCGACCGACAACTCTTTGGAGGACTCAACAAAAATCGGTTCGTCACCACAATTTTCAAGGTCTGCACTCGAAGACGTAGCGGGTCTCAGGAAGAAATATCATTAAGTCCTTTTTAACAATCTGAGTGGAAGGGACTACTACGAGAGACTTTTCCTTGAAACGAATTACCGAAAGTCAAATACGTCTTTCTGCGTGCCAAAAGGACCGTTCAGGCCGTGTTTGAGGGAAAGTGATGGGCCATGTTTCGACACTAGGTACAAATCTGGGAATTGTAAAGAGGCTTTGTATACATCAGCTTATTGTTTTGTTTCTTTAATTAAATGGATTCATCATATGAAAATAAAGAAACTGGATGTGTTGAGGGTTTGAGCCACCAAAGTGAGTGTGAGGTATGTAAGCTTTGATTTTGCATGATTGAGGTAACAAAGCTAATAAGTCTCAAGAAATGCTTGCTTCATGGACTACTAGATTTAAGATTCTTCAGATGCGTAGCCTGTTTGATACAATAAAACAAACTTTTACAGAATCAGACACAGAAAAGCTAAGGTCTTGTCTTCTTCTTTACTCAATATACTGTGGCCACGATCTCTTCAAACGTTTCATCCAATGGACCCATGACAGCTTAAATTCAAGATTACACAATGTAGGCCAGTTTAGGCAAAAAGACTTTAGGAGAGACGTATCTCATGGAAGAATCTGAGAGCGCTGGAATATGATAATAGAAAATACCTTGCGCTTTTTTACATGATTTCATTCATAATTTCAAGCCTGATTGTTAGCAAAATAAGATACAAAATTACCACCGCCGTCCTCCTATTCACATTTTAGAAATATTATCTGGCACTTTGTTCAGCGGTAACCTAAAATAATTCGTCAGATTTTTAGAACACAAGATTGGGAAAAGCAAGACAATATCACTGAAATTTGGCTTATCATAGTGGGGAGTCGAAAAGCGAAGATTGTTGCTTATTCGAATATTCGTGCTTTGCTCATTGTCGCTGACACGTCAATTTTATGATCGTTTAAATATTTTTCACGTCGTTTGCGAACACACGATACTCCTTGGTTGGTAGTTCAGGTCGAGTGTGAGAAAAATTAATTTTCCCCATCAGGCTAAGACAGTTTGGGGAAGATACCGATGCCCAATTCAATGAAAGAGGCAAGGTATAATATTGTTCCCATTTGCCATACTGCAGAGACATGTAGAGCTCTACTTTTTCGAATAAAAATTCAAGCAGAATATTCTGTGAGGATCAATAGCTCAACTGCAGCATACCAATATTTTATTGGATTCACACTAATTACACATGTTTGTGACACATTCATGGAGCAGTGAACCATCTCTTCTCCTTTTCTCACCTTTGAAATACCAGGTCATTAGGAGAATTTCATATTTTTTGGTTGACCTGAGATATGACACAGTGAAACTCTTGTGCTACATTTAAATGATCCTGGGCAACGAAATTGACAGCTTGCCTTGAAAAAACGACAGGTGGTACGCTAGTACCTCAAGGCTACGATGATTCACTACATGAAAAATATGATCCGTAAAAAAAAATTGAAGCCCAGAATTGTTGCCAGATATATATCTCTGGCTTTTTTTTTGACTTGGTTTTGGTGGAAGGGTCTTCGCCTGATAAAGAAAAACAAGCTATACAATTTTGGTAAATTGATCTGGTAGGAGAAGAATTATATAAAAAATATATAAAAAAACCTTTGAACAGCTCACAGCTACGTACCAAGTGTCGAAGCTCGGCCCGTCCCCTTCCGGTTTTCACGGCCTGGACGATCCTCTTGGCCCGTATCTGTTTACGTCTTACAATACACATAAATCCCTCTCCCAAATACGTAGCTAGTTTTCAAATATGTTCAGCCGATCATGGCCTGGAATTGCTTTTTTCCAAGAAACATCATTTTTTCATAAGGGTGTCACTGAAGGGATGTAAAACCCAAATACTAACGAAAACCTATGAATAAAAAGCCTAAAATTGATCGCAGATTTGGTTCAGGTGAGAAACTGATGTTTTTACCCCGTGTATTATTTTTCTTTTTGCTCTATGTTGGAGTCAGAAAAGTTGATTATTTGTTGTTCGGCAAGTTTATTAAGCTTTATATTTCTTATATCTGAAATAAAACCCGTAGCAAGCGCCGTGGCGCAGTGGAAGCGCGCAGGGCTCATAACCCTGATGTCCCTGGATCGAAACCAGGCGGCGCTACTCTTTTTTGCTGCTTATACTTTGTATTGTACTGGATATGAAATCATGCTTGAGCTTAGTTTGTCCGCAGTTAAGCCAATGTCTCTTCTTCCCTTTTCTGTTCATTTCTTTCATTCATTCAGCTTGCATGAAAGTTTAGTTTCATGTCACAATATTCTGATCCTGTTGGATGGGGCAAATTTTTGGAATGATACCAGATGCAGGTGTTTTTCCAAAGATATCTACAGATGATGAAATACCAGCGAGGGAGTGCATCTCGTTCGAAGCGAATCACTTGAAGCAGACCGGTGATTTGTCTGAAGTCTTAATGGCTAGAAGATACAAGGTTCTAGATTTTTAAGGTTTGGAATTAAGAGACATTGAAGAACAGGTGAGGCACGTGTTTGTCCTCCTATGTATCACAGACTCGCTAAAAGAACATAGGGAATTACATCTGCCATATATATGTGGTCACGGGAATAAAACGGGAAAGATTTTGGAAACAAGAAGAACATGAGGGTTTCGACATGGTATCCGACAAAACTCATAATAGGAGTGCATATACACAAATATGCGCTTATAGGGACAATCAGTGTTAGCCTGATAGTTAGAGAACAGGTATGCTTTGCTCAAGTCTTGTTGCTCTCGAATTAGGTGTGAAAGATGAATCTGCAATAAAAAACGGCAATCAAAGCTTCCAAAAAGACTTGTCGATAAGCTTACAGGTTCATGTATTCTGTTTTGTTCCATTCATGTAATTTTAAAAAAGTAATCAAAAAACATCATGTGGACCTTCAGAAGTATTCAGGGAATGGCTTCACAAAATAACTTAAGTAAGGGCAATGGTTTGATTGGAAAATACAAAAATGTTTTGCAGGATCTCCTGCAAACAAACAGGAGAAGTAGTTCCCGTCATCTCTATGCCAGATGATACAAATGTAGCATACAGATATGACAATGACGATGACAATGCCAACGACAATGGCAATGGCAATGGCAATGGCATGACACTGTGGATAACAAGCCAAAATGTTATGCTAGTTAAGCGGCAATATGATTAACTGCAGAGATTGCAGGAGTCTCTACAGGAGGTTTCTCTCATGTTTTTGCCGATACAGCAAAAGATCAGGTGCGCCCCAATCGGCACATACCTCGAAATCTTCATACCCCATTTCATTTGAATATTCCTTGCTGCCCATGGTTTTATCTCATCAGACTCAAGAAATGTGGCATGTCCCATTTGCTTGTTGTATGTTTGTCATCAACTAAATGAACGACGACAAGAGAATTGCATGCATGGATATGAAATAATGCCGTTTCGAAAGAATGATTCGAAAGTGATATTGGCTGTTCCATATCCAGACAATCTGCAGAAGAAAAGGGAAAAGGACCCGTATGCATTTTATCATTGGCCCCGGGCCGTGCAAGGTAATATGTTTCTAAAAGCAGGATACTCTTCTAACACAGAGAATTCTGAGCAATTGTTTTTCTTTGGTGATTGAAAACACTCCATGATACAAATAATCTGCCCGAGCCGTCTAGTACATAATAATGACTCGATATTAACATAGTTGCATTCCACGCGCTTACGCCAACCAAGAGATCAGCAGGGAAGAGAAATTCGTCAGCTTACTATATTTCTCATTGGTGCATCATGTTATGCAGTTACTTTTCGTTTTTGTTTTTGTGTTTTTTTTTTTTCTCATGTGAACAAGAAAGTCGAGATGACTAACCCGCTTGGTAGTGAATCGACAAGTCCAAGAAAACGGCTTTGTGGATCTGGGTGGAGGATCAACATCGCGACGCGCGTTCAAGCACACTCGAACGCGCGTGCATCAATACGTTTTTTGCATACATATGCGCTTGACTTGCCTAATCGTGGACTCTGCGTCGAATTTTTCTTGTCAACGTCCCTGGAGATAACCCACATAATGCACACACAGGCTATTCAATAACACAGTGTAAGGCCCGACGACACAAAGAAAGAGATATCTTTCATGGTTGCAGCCATCTGACAGTGGCGTTAAATTAGGTGCATCTTGTGTGGAAGCAAGCCACATTTAATGAACTAATATACCTCTTCAGGGTTGTTCTTGCCTTGCGAACGGTAGGCGCGTGCATATAGCTCGTATTGTGGTACGATATATCGGGCAGCAAACAAATCAATTGTGGCTGCGATTGGAGAGTCCGGCAGAAGCCAGGAAAAAACGGGGCGCTCACTCTCAATGGGCCGACTTGTGCATCCGTTGTTTTGGGAGAAAGAGAGATCTAGCCCCCAAATTTATGGGTGAGGATCGGCCAATGGATTCGACCAAGGGATCTCGCATCCCATGGTATATACACACCTGTCCGGCATGCAGCATAGCAATCAAGTTTTGTGTAATTTCGGGGCCTGGTGTGTTGCCCAAAGTAAGCATCGGAGTGGAGGTAAAATCTCGACCGGCGTCTGTTAATTTAAAACTAAGAAAAAAAACAACACAAAGTACACACACACGCTACACACACAAAAAAGAAATCCCAACTGTGTTGCTGGGCCCGACTTCGAGAAATTCCTATCTCGGAACTCTCATGTAAACTCTATATGTGCTGGGGGCTTGGTGAGTGAGTAAATCTCACCTGGCTTGAGACGCCGTTTGTAGGATCTCGCTGCTTGGGTTTCTGGAGGGCCTTCTACGAAACGAGGTCAACAATAGGATACGAACCGATGAGCATGTTACATACGAACCCGCAAAACAAAGAAATACGAGACAGAAGACGCAGTGACTTGAGGACTCAGGCCGTGATGGTCAGCCTTTCAAACCTGGGCACATTTCCGATACGTCATATTTTGTTTTCACCCCAATGCAGATTCTCACGCATCTGAACAGAGACCCCCTTCGTTTTCATGACGGGTTGTTTACACGTCCCGGGACACGGTGCAGGAGATGTTCACTCCGGAGTGCATGCATGCAGCCCCAGGTGCGCAGCGCCTATCTTGAAAATCCAAATAGCCGAATGAAAAGCAACAATAGAGGGAGCTCGCTAGGGACCCTTACATTACAACAAAGCATTCTGAAGTAGCGGTTCCTGAATCACTGCGTTTGCTGATGGTAGCCTTGCTTTGCTGGCGAAAAAAGAAAAGAGCCATCCGCAGCCAAGATCCCCAAGAGGCTGGTGGCGGCCTAGCCCCATGCGCGATCTGCGATGAATATACCAGAGGAAGTCTAAACTCGCAGCGTCGCGAGAACGCTGCAATGCCGATCGCGAATTGTTGTGATAGATTTCGCGGATGGCAGGAATCACATGTGATGTTTGTCGAACGCAGCCGTATGTTATGAGTACAGCTTCCATAAAATCTATGATGAAACAGTCTCATGGAACTAGAAAAACCCCTATTCCTTGATTTAAACTTCATGGGATCATTCAGCCAAATTGCACAGTGCTGGTTGCCACTCCAATCGAGCATATCATCCCTATATAGCGCGCAAGCCTCGCAGCGGCAGGGGGAGGAGCGACGCATCCCGGAGTATGTGCACGACGCAATAAACTGCGGGAATGCTATTTTGGCCCTAGCCACATTTCCGTTTTTACAGCCAGCAATATATAAAAAGGGCGCCGCCCCCTGATCTTTCCCCTTTTGATATCCGTAAACTTTCCGTCTTTCGCTAACCAATTTTTGCTATGAAATTTACTACTCTTGCAGCCGCCTCTGTGTTGGCCGCCTCGGCGTGTGCCAAGGACGTCGCCTGTCGTGTTGGAGGTGTCCAGCAATCCGTTGTTGATTTGGACACTGGATCCTGTTCGTTCGTCATTCCAGACGCTGTCCCTGTGACTTTCGACTTCACTGCCCCAGACAACTACCTTGTTGACGCTTGCTACGCCTTGGTCAACGGCAACAGATTCTATAATAACATTCCCGAGGCCGGTCGCACTGTCACTGTGCCCGCCAAAGAAATGATGGACCAGGGCAACTTTCCTATTATGGGAGTGCACGCTGAGATGTCGCCTGCCATCAACTCCACAATGGCCTTGCGCGCCAGATTCAACTCCAAGTTCGTCTCCAAGAGAGACGCCGAGTCCGACTTGGTCGACTACATCATGACCTTGAACGGTACCGCCCTCCTCGACGCCCCCGAGCTCTCTGTGTCTGACGTCGACGCCGTGTCTTCTGCCTCTGGTGTTTCCGAGTCCATGACCAGTGCTTACGAGTCCATGACCAGTGTTTACGAGTCCATGACCAGTGTTTACGAGTCCACTTCTACTGCTACATACGAGTCCACGACCATCCTCACCATCACTTCTTGCTCTGATGATGTGTGTTCCGAGTCGACTGCCACCGCTACCGAGGGCCCAACCACTGTGACCTCTGACGACACCACCTCTGTGCTCACCACCTGGGTGCCTGTGTCCACGGTGACTGACTCCAACACCGTTGCCACTACCATCATCACCATCACCTCTTGCTCTGACGACAAGTGCGTTGAGTCTACTGCCACTGCTACTCAAGGCCCAACCACTGTCACCACTGACGGTTCCACCACTGTTTACACCACCTGGTGCCCAGTGACTGACGAGCCTACCGAGACTGTCACCAACACTGTTGCCACCACCATCATCACCATCACCTCTTGCTCTGACGACAAGTGCGTTGAGTCTACTGCCACTGCTACGCAGGGTCCAACCACTGTCACCACTGACGGTTCCACCACTGTTTACACCACCTGGTGCCCAGTGACTGAGCATGCTTCGTCCACTGTGATCACTTCCGCTACCACTGGTGCTAACGGCGAGGAGACCACTGTTACAGTTACTGCTACCCAAGGTGCAACCACTGTCACCAGCGGTGATGAGACCACTGTCTACACCACCTGGTACACTGTCTCCAAGGAGGCTGAGGACACCGCCACCGTGACCACCACTGGTGCCGAGGGTGCCAAGACCACTGATGCCGGTGTTGTGACCACCGTCATTGCCTCTACCTCCACCGGTGCCGCTGGTGAGGAGACCATCTACGTTACTCTCACTACTTCCGCCGCTACCGGCTTCCACACCAGCACTTCCACTGGCGCCGTTGCCGCCCAGTCCACCGACTACGCCTCTGCCACCCCAGCTGTTTCTACTGTCTTCAACGGTGCTGGCAGGGTCAGTGCTTCCTTGGCCTTGATTGCCATTCCTTTCGCTTATTTCTTGTAAGCAATCCAATCCTTTCGTTAGCGCAATTGTTTCTCTCAATTTGACATTGGGAATTTCGAAATCGCCTCATTTTTCTCATCGAATCTTTTCATAAAAATTTACAATATACTTTTCGTATCGGTTTAATTTGAATCTTTGTATTGATCATCTTTGTTTGGTCACTGGCCGGAATCCGGAAACCGGGATGTTTCCGGATGCCTTTGGCACACGAATTTTCGCTTATATAAGCAATGAGACGGCATGTAAGGCCAAATTTGGCGTTGTGATGTTTTAGGCTAAATATTTTGAAACATCTCAGGACGCGGAAGTGCAGGCGGGTCCATCTAGAACTTGTTTACGAGTGCCTCGGCTTGGAAAATAAAGTATTTTTTCTTGGAAGCTGTTGGGAATGGAAGAAGCTCATTGGCAGAAAGAGATGTATGGTTTTTAGATTTGGAAGCACTCATTTGAACCATAGCATCTCGTTGGACTTTGAGCACAGCCACCAGAATCTTAAGCTAACAGAGGCAAGTCAGTGAAGCATGAAGATAGTGTCTTTTTTTGCTCACCTCCCACCTCGCTTCAGAAATCCACCCATACTGTGGCTGCCTCTACCGGAACCTCGGAACGCTGTGGATGTGTGAGGGATGCCAACTCGAGTTCCGCATCGGGAAGGTACATGGACGAACCTGCACATAGATCAAGGAATCGCCTCAAAACATGTGAGGGTGCATTAAAAGTGTGTTTCGGATCTCTAAATTCGTGCATATAGGCATTGTCGCTATAGTAGTTCCATGCAAAAGGCACATGTTTCGAGTTCTGAAACGTCTTTCCGCTGAAAAATATCCTGAGATGGAATTACTATAAAGAGGCCCTCGGCTGCGGCCCAATTTTTCAGGTTGCAACAGCTCCAATCATTCGCTCAGAGATGTTGTTCTTCTTCTATTTGTTGCTTAGTGTGACGGCAGGCGCTGTCACTTTATCCACCACAGCTACGGAAATTCATTATACTGATATTACAGCAACTTCTTGTCCTGAAAATGTTTGTGAGCTCAGTTCTGTTATTACTCCAGCTCCTTCTGCTACATACCATTCTAGTGACGATGACGACGATGTCACCACCTTATTAATTATTGTTACTTACGATGAAATAATCAATAAGTATATCACGTACTGTCCGGATTTGGACTTGACGCTCGGGATTGCTACAGGGCCGCCAGGATCATCGTTCACTTCAACCACTATGACGTTGCCGGTTTCTGATAGAACTACGACCTCATCAATTACGTTCGCGGCTTCTTACAGTCCAACCCCCAGTATCAGTGCAAGTGTTGTTCTGCTGGTTCCCTCGACAGCTTCTTTGGTCTCAAGTTCTCCGATCATTGATATTTCTCTGTCGTCAGCTGTTCCCAGCAGCTCCGCAGAGCCCAGTGCTTCGACTACAGTCACCTCGTCGAGCATCTACAGCGCATCCAGCCCTGTTTTGGAGTCTTCAGCGTCGGCATTCCCAAGCGAAGAGTCCACGTCTTCCGAAGCCGAAACCTGGCCGGCCCCTTCCACCGCCGAGACTTCTTCAATTTCGGTAACTTCGAGTGCAGAGACCTCGTCCTCAAGTGCGGAGTCTCAGATGCCTTCCGCTGCCGAGTCTTCGACTTCTGAAGTGGAATCGTGGCCAGCCTCCAGCATGGAGCCTTCGTCGACTTTGTGGGTGCCCAGCACTTCTCTGTCTGCGTCGTCGTATACAGTCGAGACTCCATCCAGTGTTCCAGTGGTGTCGTCTGCCTTTTTCTCGAGCCCCGAGGCCGTGCAGTCGTCCAATGCGGCCACGTTTGTTGAGTCATCGTCATTTGTCTTTTCTTCAGTTGAGCCATCTTCTGTCTTTTCTTCAGCCGAGCCATCTTCTGTCTTTTCTTCAGCTGAGCCATCTTCTGTCTTGTCCTCAGCCGAGGCATCTTCTGTCTTTTCTTCAGTTGAGCCATCTTCTGTCTTTTCTTCAGTTGAGCCATCTTCTGTCTTTTCTTCAGCTGAGCCATCTTCTGTCTTGTCCTCAGCCGAGGCATCATCTATGTCGTCCTCAGCTGCTCCTTCTGTCGAGCCATCTTCAAAGGCTTCATCGGCAATCGTTTCCTCGTCGCTTGGACTGTCGTCTGCAGTCTCCTCGTGGGCTGTTCCATCATCAGCCGACCCTGCGTCGCGGGTCTCGTCTGTGTTGTCATCGGCCATCCCATCCTTTGCAGTGTCTTCCTCCCTGGAACCATTGCTGGAATCGTCGTCCGTTGTGCCTTCTGCCGTGTCTTCCGAGATTGCCAGCTCGTCCGGGTACTCCAACCAGACTTACACGATATCGACTTCTGTGGGGACAGTTGTATGGACCTCCAGCGACGTGGTGGTGACAGACTTTAGCACCACAACTCTGACGATGTATTCTTGTGGTGTTCAGGGATGCTCCAAGCCAAGCGTGGTGTCCTCGGCCGCCCCGGCCATGTCTTCGTCAACTTCACCGGCCTGGTCCGAAACGTCTTCTGAGACTCCATCTGCCAGTGAATCTGCGAAATTGCTGTCTTCTGAGATCTCATCTGCCAGTGAATCTGCGAAGGTGCTGTCTTCTGAGACTCCATCTGCCAGTGAATCTGCGAAATTGCTGTCTTCTGAGATCTCATCTGCCAGTGAATCTGCGAAGGTGCTGTCTTCTGAGACTCCATCTGCCAGTGAATCTGCGAAGGTGCTGTCTTCTGAGAAGGTGCTCTCCTCTGCCTCTCCATCAAGCATGTCTTCACAAGTATGGCCAACCTCCAAGGCAGCAGAGTTTTTCACCACCAGCGCGGCTTCTTCCGAGCCTCTGGCCTCGCAGTCCTCCGAGCAATATTCCGTCAGAACGTCAGTGGGAACCGTGGTCCGCACTTCCAGTGACGTGGTGGTCACCGACTACTCCACCACCACCGATACGGTGTATTCGTGTGGGGTGGATGGGTGCACGAGGCCCAGTGAAACGGAGACCAGTTCTGCGGTGGTTTCTGCGGTGGTTTCTGCGGTTTCTTCGTCTCCAGACTCCTCCTCGTCGGATCTCCAGCCCGCGTCCTCCAGCCAGCCGGGAGCCGTGTCGTCGAGTGCAATGCCGGCCAGCTCTGCCAATGAAAGCGTCACCACCACCGCCGTCAGAACCACCATAGTCACCACCTGCACGTCGTCGGGCCACGAGTATGTGCTGTCCAGAACCACAACCTTGGTGCACACACTAGTGGTCACCACGTGCACGTATTCCGGCACCACGCAAACCCTGACCTTGACGCAGCTGACGTCGGAGCCGGTTTCGGAGACGGAGCCGGAGCCCGCCGCTTCAAGCATGGCCAGCGAGACTCTGGGATCCAGCTCGTGGCCGTTTTCGGTGGCCGCCAGCTCTTTCACGGCCGCCAGCTCGGCCTCATCGGCTGTGCCGTCTTCCGCGATCGAGTCATCAGTTGGGTCTTCCATTGTGTCATCTGAGTCATCAATCGTGCCATCTTCAGAGTCATCTATCGAGTCATCAGTCGTACCATCTTCAGTGCCATCTTCAGTGCCATCTTCAGAGTCATCTTCAGTGCCATCAGCCGTCTCATCAACTGAGCCATCGGCCGTGCCTTCTTCCTCGGTCGTGCCGCCAGTGACCTCGTCCTCGCTCGTGATTTTCTGCTCGTCGCCCGTCTGCTCCGCCTCCACCAAGCGCTCCACCAGAAGCTCCACCAGAAGCTCCACCAGAAGCTCCACCAGAAGCTCCTCCACCACCCTGGATTCGCTGTCTGCACCTGCTTCTTCTGCCGAGACCCGGACTGCTTCATCCAGCACCACGGTTTCTGCCCCTACCTCGGAAACCGATGCAGTGCTGTCGTCGCTGGTGCCGGTGCTTTCATCGCTGGTGCCGGGCTCGGAGTTCAGAACCCTGGTTTCGCCCAAAAGCTCCGTGCCGGCCGTGACAACCACCACAGCTTTCGAGACGACCTTGGTCACCACATGCACCGAGTCGGGCGACACGTTTTTGCTGACGCAGACGACCAGCACAACGCAGACGCTAGTCATCACCACGTGTCCTTATTCGGACACCACGGTGGTGCTGACCAGCACAGTCGAGAGCCCGGAGAGTGCCGGCCCGCAGCCTTCTGCCGTTTCCAGTTCAGGCTCTGAGACCGTGGCCACCTGGAAGACCCAGCCCGGCGCATCGTCTGTGGGGACTCCATCTTCGGGGGCCTCGACATCTGAGACTCCAGTCGAGACTTCGGTTGAGACTCCAGTTGAGACTTCGGCTGAGACTCCAGTCGAGACTTCAGTTGAGACTCCAGTTGGCACATCGTCAGTTGAGACTTCGGCTGAGACTCCAGTTGAGACTTCGGCTGAGACTCCAGTCGAGACTTCGGTTGAGACTCCAGTTGAGACTTCAGTTGGCACTTCAGTTGGCACTTCAGTTGGCACCTCGTCCGCTTCGCCTGCCCGTCCAGGCTCCACCGCCACGTCTGAGCTGGCTTCTGCAGAGCCTCGCTCCAGTGAAAAAGCCGCTTCTCAGACCACGCAGACAGAGCCCACCCAGAAGAAGCCCACCCAGACCTCGGCCATGGCAACGCTGGCTTTTTCGCTGAGCATCGTGGTCGCCCAAGTCTCGCCTGCCTCTGTCTCTGAACCCAGCATCAAGTCGCAAGCCACGCCCGGAACCCCGTCTCCTAATACCACAGTGCTGCCTCCTGCCAGTGGCACTCCATCGGCCCCGGCGTCTCGGTCCCCGGCCACGGTGCCTGTCCTCTCTATGGAAACCCAGCCTCCATCGCAGGCCCCTTTGGTTCCATCGGACTCATCGCCGATCCCACCACCAACTCCGTCCCTGGCCGCTTCGGCAGTGCCCACCGCCTCTGTTTCCCAGTCATGTGACGAGATCTGCGGCGACAACCAGTTCTGCCGTTTCATGGCCGGCTGCGAGACCGACTCGGAATCCACCACCCGGATCACGCTCACGACCTCGGTGACTAGCAAAACCAGCGCCTCGGTCACGGCGCCCCCAAGCCTCACAATGGCCACAAGCAGAGTGACTTCCGAGCCCGCGTTCCAGTCTTCGAGCCACACCTTCAACAACGCCACGATTTCCTCGTTCGAAGGATCGGCGCACAGGAGCTCCTTGCCCAATATGTCCTTGGCGTTGGTGATGCTCTTTCTTGGCGTGAGCGTTTAGAATGATACCCTGTTTCAATAGACAAGTAATAATCATGTTTGAGTTTGACGCCCGTTGTAGCCCGGCCCTCCCCGAGAGTGTTCTTTGATAGAGCGCAGCCCGCTCGGCGCCCACATCCCCATGGAATGCTCCACTGGCATGCCCAACCTGTGTCACCCATGTCTCCCCCGTTCCCACACACCGCTCACCCAAGCACCGAGAGAGCGGCTCTACAAAGACGCCTTCAGTGCGAAAGTGTTTATTGTCATATAGCCCCGAGTGGGCACAAACAGTCCCTAATAGACCTCCAAGATGTACCTGCCGTCCTCCTTCATGTCCTCCACAACCTTGGCGACGTCCGAAATCTCCGTGCCTTGTCTCTTGGCTCCATTCTGCACAATGTCCTCCAAACACGCGGTGATGTCGGGGACAGGCCACGTAGGCCCACACAAGTAGAACGAGCCGTTCTTGGTAACAATGGCGTCCGTCAACTCCTCAATGGAGCCGCGGATCTTGTCCTGAATGTAGATCTTCTCGGGCTGGTCACGAGAGAAGGCTGCTCCAATGTGCGTCAAGATACCGGCCGCCTTGTACGCCTCCCACAATTCACCGTAAAGATATTCCTCCTTCTTGTGTCTTGAACCCATGTACAAGTAGATCTCTCCGATAGTCTGACCTTGGGCCTGTTGCCAGATCTTCTCCTCAATGAACGCCTTGAAGGGAGCCAATCCAGTACCCAAGCCGGACATTACAATTGGCTGCTCAGGAAGCTTAGGCAACTTCATCACGGATGGCTTGACGCTTACAACAAGCTCGTCTCCAATGCTCAAGTCAGACAAGTACTTCGAGCAGTGTCCGTATCTGGTTCTGCCCCTAGAATCAACCCAATCGACAACAACAATCAACAAGTGAACAGCGTTGGGGTGCATCTTTTGAGATGAGGCAATCGAGTACTCTCTTCTCTTCAAAGGCGCGATGATTTTAACCAAGGCATCGAAAGAAGGGCGTGCGGACTTGAACTCGTCCAAAATATCCACGTACGAGTCAAAGTCAACGTCTTGTCTCTTCTTTAACTCTTCAGCTCCAGCAGAAGAGGCCAACTTCTCCAAAGCAGCCTTTTCGTTCTCGTCCGCAGCAAAAGGGGCCAACGATTCGTAGAATCTCTTTGGTGGCTTACCCAAGAAATCAACGTTGTCGGCCAAAGCTTGTCTGGCGGAGCGGATTTCAAGCAAAGTTGGGTCATCTTTGTTGGAAACCTCGATCAAAGTATCACCATCCACGCCGTAAAACTCCAAGAATTTCTCAACCTCAGTGCTGTTGTTACGTCCATGAATACCCAACGCTTCACCAATGTCGTAAGTCAAACCGGTGCCGGTGACATCGAATTCAATGTGAAAGATGTTTCTTGAGTATTCATTGGGTGTCAATCTCTTGTTTTCTTGCACCTTGACCACAAAGTTTTTGACAGGCAAGTCTGGTCTCAACTCCCTAGTCACACCGTATGCTTCTGGGAAGGCCAATTTTGTTGCAACGTCAGAAGTTCCTAAATGGAATGATTCCTCGGTGGAAGGTGGCTCAGTTCTGGAGTTTGGGAAGAAAGAGGTTTCGGTCGGGAAAAATGGCAACATTATCTCTTCAATCTCCTCTTTCTCTTCTTCATCCTCCTTCTTCTCAGCTTCTTCCTTTTCAGCTTCGTTCTTCAAGTCGATCCACTCTGGAAGGACATTCACAGCCTTCAAGCCCAGCTTCTCGTCAACAGTGGCAACAAATTTGTCCAAGACAGCAGCCAATAATTCAAAGTCGTTACCGTTTCCTTGCAACAATTTGTTGATAACAAATGACCCCAACTCCGGAAAAGAGGCTCTCCAAAACCCAACCTGGGCCAAGAAATCAGCAGAAAAACCTTTGGTGGAGTCGCTTACAGCGTCTAACTCTTCCACGATGGAGAAGTCTACCACTACTAATTTGAGGTGACTGGTAGCCAAAGCACTTCTGAAAGTAGCAGGCAACTTCTCAACGACATCAGCCTCCACAGAGTTGGTGATTTTCTTCTCGTTCACCAACAACACGGTTGCACCAGGCTTGGCGGTTGCCAAGACATCAAAGTGATTCAAGATAGAGGCGCTCTCAATCAAGACCACATCGGCAGCATCAACCACAGAAGAGGCTACAGAGTCCTTGGCTCTAGATACAATCAGAGATTGGAAAACTCCACCACTGACTGATGTGTCAAACTTGTTTCTGATGCTGACCCGTTTTGAGCTGTCCAAAGAGAGCGAGAGAGCCAACTTATCAGCAGTGGCAGCGAGATCGCTGTTGTCTCTTGTCCAGAACATATAAGACCCCTCTGGCGACGTGAAAGCCGTGACGTTCTCAGCACTGATGGCGTTGGAACTTGTCGAAGAGCCCAACACAACAGCGTGCTCAAGCTCAGGTACAAATGCACCAAGGGTCATGTAGACGCTGACAGGGGACCACACAAAGGTGGCAGGGTACGCGAACTCATCCACAAGAAGGCCAGCAAAACGGCCCGTGAGGAACAATGCTGCAGTGGCATCGGCCTTCAATGCAGCAGACAGTTCGGGCAGCAACACAACAACCTTACGCGTGGACGCGGGGATAGCAGCGGCGAACTTGTGCTGAGCAAAAGGAAAAGGAACTCTCACCTTAACAACACCCACACGCGTGGTGGCAGAGGTCTTAGCCTTGGCCACGAGCGCCGAGACCTGGGTAGCCTCATGGGCGCCGTGCACGACAAACACAGTCTCTGGCTCGGCGTGACCCTCGTACTCGAAGGGCGCGATTGACGTGCCAGCAACAGCGTTGAAAGTGTCAAATGCAACTTCCAAGGCATGGTCCACATTGGCTGGTTTGGCGGCGCCGGAGCCGAGCAACTGCTCGTACAAACGGCCGATGTCAGCCACGGACAACACGGAGTCGAAGTGCTGGAAGGTACGGGCAAACTCAGGCCCGTCGAACAAATGAACAGAGGGCGCGCCAGTCAACGCGGCCAAGAAGTGGTTGAGCACGACGGAGTACTGCAAGTCTGTGGCCTCGTAGCTAACCGGGGACACCACGGGGAGGCCTAACTTGCGTGCCACAGCAACCGGGCCAGCGTAGTTGGAGACTAAAGCACCAGCAGTGGTGTCGTAATCAATGGCGCTGACGTTCAAGCTTAATGGGGCTGGTTTGGAGGAGGCAAGCGCTGGCTGCATGTAGGACAAGGCAGAGGCACCCAAAACAGCCGTGAATGGTGCCTGGGACCCGGAGGCCTGGCTTGCAAATCCGAAGATGGCATTAGCCGCACCCAGGCGGGGCTCCAAGCGGTGAAAGAGTGGCACAGCACCCAAGGCGTTCAGCCTCTTGAAGGTGGTGGCCCAGAGCAGCAAGTGAGCATCGGCCAAGTTGCCTGCACCAGGAGTCTCGTACGAAAAAATCGAGTCCGCCAAAGCGTAAACAGTCTGTGAGATGACCGTGGCAGCGCTTGAGTACACACTGTTCTTCAACACATGGGGGTCTGCGGAGATGCCGAAAGGGTTAGCCTTGACAATGTGAGCCAGCTGGGCGTCGATAGCCGAGTTTGCCGATGGCGTTTTTTCGCCAGAGGAGGAGGCGGCGTGAGGGCTCATGGTTTTTCGTAGAGAGACTATTTCACTCAGGAAAAGAAACAGGTGGGGCTGGGTTCATTTTGGCTGGGACCCGACGGGCAGAATTTTGAAGGCATGCCGCTAGGCGAATATGCAAGCTCACGTGACAAGAGGCAACTTGTGCATGAACGGCACATAGGGTAGAAAGGCGCAGGAATGCAGCGACAAGACCCGCGCTCAGGTGCCCCAAAACTCAGCAGGTGTTCAAGGATCGTATTTTTATGATTTGCCGCCTACTGAAAACCTCAATTCTTTCTAGATTGAATCTGCTCTGTCTGAATAGGTGAGAATGTTTTATGCATCTGGATCGATGGAATTCTTGTTATCACAGCCTGTTGCAGTCTGGAACGCTGAGACTTTAGACTTTCCGTCTGTGACACAAACAGCTGATAATTATGATACACTCACGTGGCCCACATCAAGGATGATCTAGATGTACAGAAGAAGAAGAATAGGAAGAAGAAAGGAAGCTGGAGGAGAAGGAAGAAAAAGAAGAAGTATGATGTGAAATATGGGGCGCGCCTCAGAGTAGTTCAAATGGCTGTAAATCCGAGAAACTACTTTACCGTTAGCACATAGAGAGACACGTGACCACTGCGACGTTGACGACGAAAAGTCACGTGAGGTTCTCCTACAATCTAGGGGGATTTCTCCAAGGATTTGTTGAGCGCTCTTAGCTGAGTTAGTAATAGTAGTATTTAGTTACTAAAACTGACTTCGAAAATAGAACCGAAGACGGGTTTCGATAATCACTGCAAATAGAAGCTGGAGTGAGGTGCGTGTGCAGCTAATAAATTAGCGCGAAAAATAGAAGATATATATATCAACGACGATATCAACGACGAAGGTCAGCGAGAATTAAATGCCTTTGTTAGAAATGCACCAATGTTTAGAAGGAAAATACAAGTAAGGTGGGCGAATATCTATCTATGGAATAATTCTAACAATCTCGCGAGGAATTGAAAAAACAAACAATAGGGGTGTATATTCCAGCCCAGTAATTTGAAAAGAGACATCTTAGCAGGGGGCGGGGTGATCGATGTGTCCATTCATTCTTAAAAGTTATTACTTTGGATCACTTATTAAAAATTTCCGAAAATGAGAAAAGAAGCGAGGCAAAAACAGAAGAAATGATTTGAACTGCTGCGTCGTAAGATAATGGGAATTTAATGATGGTGGGGAGAAATAGTATGTTTACTTTTGCAAATTGTGCGAGGACTGTTGGAAAAACAGAAATTAAATCAAGTGACTTTTTTTTTTTTCAGGATAATATAATCTAACTGTTAAAGAGTAATCGAGATATACAAGTACCCCAATAGATAAATGGTGAAATTTATCAAATTTAGTCTGGCTATAACGCCTTTTGATCTTAATTTGACTCGAATTGCTTATTGATGTCAAGAGGTGACTGCTTCAGCAATTGGTGAATATGAGGAAATAACAGGTATTTTAAAAGAGCCTAACCTTTTTATAATCCAGGCTGGCATAATAAAAAGCCCAGTTACGAAGATGGTGTAAGAAGACCCGCAACATTGACCAGCCTTCATTTCCGTGAACCTTCAGAAAAAAGAGGAATTACATCATCAATAATTCAGAGCCTAGGACTTACCCATATCCATCTACCGAAGACAAGGAAACCAAACAACCATTGGCCATACTTCGATTCGAAGGTTGATATATTGATATATTCTCTCCAGAGTGCTTTGCTATAGTCTCATAAAAAGCACAACTTTTATTTATAAGCCTTCGCAATAAATTCTGCTTGATGTGATGTCTGGTTATAACTACCTCCACCAAGAACGCTTTTGCCTTTTTTGTGACTTGAAAATACGTAAATCCTATCATAAAAGTTGTGAGTTAGTGACGATTTAAGGTTTTTGAAGATATGCAAGCTATTTCAATTTTGATACTCGCAACGATGTCCACAACAAACAGCACCTTGCAAAACTAATTTGTTGTGTTCTCATAGTCTTCTAATATTTGAAGAGACACTCAGTACTAGGCAACTTTGAATTAATCGATTCTGAGTTATGCAGATTCAGAGAGACTCGGAACTTCGAAGGACTTTAATCAATAAAATCACTAGCACTCATTTGTAGCAGTAGTTTAATACCAGAGACGTCCTGTCAAAGTAGGGAAAAGAACTAGAAATAAAGGGAAAAAGAGACTAGAAATAGCTCGCTTTATGATTGTACATGTCAACAAAAAATTCTGCCTAAAAACAAATCTAATGCGAACGCAGAATGATTATTTTGGGGTCATTTGGAGTGAACAGAATCCGTTCTACATGATGGGACGTGCAAGCTCAGACTGAATGGCACTTTTTTATATCAATAGGTGTTAAAAGTTCATATATGTATAGAAATGGGCTGTAAGGCAAATTAGCGGAGTTCGGAGTAAAGGGTTTCTTCGAGTGAGTGGATTTGATTCATACCCTTAGAAAAAGTTAATTTCAAGACGGCGTAGCCACAACCTTTATTATATAGCAAACCGATACATTGATATGGTTTGAATGGTAAATTAATTGGCGAGTAAATTCAATTTGAAACAGTTTTCTTGATCATCCTTGAACACAAGGCCAAACAATCACAAGAGTGCGGGACCAAAGGATGCTCGTATTGAAATCGATTTTGCTCAAAAAAAAACCAGAAATAATCTGAGACAAGAGGCTCAACATTGGGGACAAAATCATGCTAATAAATTTCGGAAGTTGTGATCTTGCTACAAGATGTAAAAAAATGAAGAAAATTGAGCGCACATCAAGATCGTTCCATGGTTTAGCTTGATCGCATTCAAAAGTCTTGGATACGAGGCCATTAATAATTTTAATACACTGAGAAAAAATATCCAGCTTATTCTTGCCAATAAAACCTGTTTTTTTTAATTTTGTGCAGCAAACTATTCTTCAGCTGAAAGGCCAGCGCCCACAAAGTGCGATATCCAAATGCGCTTTGATTTTGCAGTAATTCACGGGAACATACGTCCTGCTAGGTATACAAAATTTTGCTGCATTAGTCAAGTAGCTTCATAATAAATTGCATGAGATAATCCAGTGACACGGATTTCAGTACTTGCTTAGCAGGTCCGATTTCACATAGTGACAGTTGTACATCGTGAAAAATGGGAATAGAAACAAAAAGAAGAGACAAACCATGCAAATCACTCTTGAAACAGGATCCGCGTGAGACAATGCTGAATCCCCACGTTCTGGTGCAAAAAATCGGGAGCCTTATTGAGAAAAGTGTGGTTGCGCAAAACGATATCTTGATGCTCAGAAAAGAAATGAAGAGGGTGAAACAGAAGTGCAAAAGCCGAGGAGTTGTGACAGTCTTTCGAGAAGACGTGAGGCAAATTGAGGCTGGGATTGAAGAGCTCGTCCAGGAGAACACCGAGCGTAAGTGGGAGATTCAAAGAATCCAGCACACGATCTTGACAATACAGGAACAGCATGAGTTGAAACTTGACATTCCATAGGAGGAAAGCAGGAATTGTCTAACAGACTTTCGGAATGGATATAAAGGCGCCATTGGCTTCAGTAGGTTGAGGTGAGGGAGAATTCCGGCGGAAGTGCCCGATGGATGTGGTTAGCTCATTTGGTCATTCCTCCTGCTTTTCATAAGTTTGTTTCTTTGGTTTGCACAAGGAGTTTCACAGAGGGGGTATGTCGAAGTATGCCAGCTTTGTGAGCCCCCAGCTGGCAATTTAGCAACACTTGAATTTTACAACTCCTGAAATCTACAACACCTGGAATCTACAACACTCAAAATAAAGAATGGTTCATCTAAAAGTGCAGTATGTAATTACCCACCTGGACTTCACGTCCAAAGACAAAATAAACGACGTGGCCCTATCTGGAAACCTGACCAAGCCTTCAACAGGTGGGCGTTTTAAATAATCAAAAACACTCTTTGCAAGTCGTGTTTCGATAGATGCGCTACTCAGCCAAGTGATTCGGTTCAGGATTTGCCTTTGCAACGCCCTCTACAATATTGAATGTACCCCCTTTCATTGATGGCGGTTCACGAGCACAATGGCTTGATTTTGTTGACACACAAAAAGCTCTTGGTGGAACTGTCCTCGGGAACATCAAATGAGACGTCACGAAGAGATGACCTGGCAAAGAAATCCACGCCAACCCAGAGGTGCCAGAAAAAATACCCTGAGATCAATATGATTCAACGGCGTTAATACAAATAACAAACAGTGGAAGAATTAGCGCCTGCAGAAACTGCAAACCCCAGATCCACCCTAAAAACAACGGCCTTGCTTGGTCGGCGGCCGGCCTTCGTAGGGCTCCTTATGGCAACACCATATGTTTCCTGAAAAACTTGGCCTTGGACTCATCATCAAGTTCCATAACTTCAGCATGAGTCAAAGCTCGTCTCAGAACATCCGACTTCTGGTCGTTGGCCTTCTCGCGCTTGCTGACTGGGTTATGATTGGCACCAGGATAGTCATAGAGAGTGTCCCAGGTCTTCTCGACATAGCCTTCGACCGGGGGCTCGCCATCAAGAATTCTTTTAAGCCAGGCCACCGCGGCCGGATATCCACTGTACGACTCCCTGACGTGGCCTGTATCTCTCACAAAGTTGACCTCAAAAGACTTGATGCCCCAGTCGCGATAGTTCTGGATCACACGCCTGATATCATTGATGGGCGCAACGGTGTCGCTCAACGCATGGTGCAAAAAGATCGGGCACGTGGGCAAGCCCTGGTCTCTTCTGAGCGCCACGGTGTTCTCGTCAAGAATCTGTTTGACCGTGGGGTCAGACAAGGCACCCTTCTTGAAACCGGGGCTGTCGCCCATGAAGAAACTGACGTCGAAAAAATGAGCCAATTCCCCAAGAAGGCACCAGTTTTGCGCCCTTTGTGTGATTGTCTCAAACATCGTGGACAGTGTGACGTAGCGCTTGTACACCTCCTTTAGCTTGGGGTACTGTGCAATCAAGCCACTAAGGGCAGCACCCACCAAGCCTGCCGTGATAGTGCCATCGTTGGATTCTATGGTGGCCGTGTAATTCGTGACCCAGCCGCCAATCGACGCTCCCACTAGGATTCCGTTTAGGTCAGGAGCATACCGGGGCTGGAGAGCCGCGGCCCAGCCGGTGGCAATGGAGCCTCCGGAGTAGCCGCAGATCACGGTGCGGGCGTCGGCTTTGATGCCGGTGATTTTGCCGGTGACCAAGGCTCCACGGATACCGTCCAAGACCGAATAGCCGCCCAACTTGCCTGCGCCAAACGCGGCATTGAGGCCCTCGGAATCGGTGGCTAAGATGTCCCAGCCGTGCAGAAGCGGGGCTTCCAACTTGAGCATGGAGTCCAGCATGCTGACGGAGGGGGCGCAGTCTATGGACGCCAGGTCGCTGGGCACCTGGAACGAGAGCAACTTGTTGCCTTTGCTTCTTGCAGACTTATAGATGGTGGAGACTATTCCCACGGGCTTGTCGAGCGAGTCGGTGGAACGTACCATATATTGATAGACGGCCGTGGTGAATTGGGGAAGCGGGGTCTGAAGCATCTTCCGCATCCGGATCACTTCTCCAGGCAGGTAGCTGGAGATGTTTTTGGGTTCATTGTAGAAGCTGTCGCCGGTGACCAAAGTGTTCTGCTCTACTTGTGGCACCGAGGTGGCTCCCGGCAAATACATGAATGGGTCGACGGTAGCATTTCCTGGGTTTGGCGAGCCGCTTGCAGAGACGCTGCTTGATTCTGGGGATTCTTGGGCGTTTGTTCCGGCGAGCCAGAGGCCCGCCCAAGAACAGGCAATTGCTATATATCTCATGTTCTAAGTGAGAAAGTTGGGGCTAAACTGATCCACTTCGAGGGAGCACCGCCGGCCTTATATGGGGCTGTGGAATACGCCGTCTCCACCACCCATGCTGTATTACTGGCCAGCCCTTCCTATAGCAGCATTCTGTTCGCAGGATCCAGAGGGAGCCGGCTACTGGCAGATGCTAGACGTGAGATTCCAGAACTGACGAGAGAGACACAGGGCTCACTGACCACGAACTCCATGCATAAGCCGAGAGTGGGGAATCTTGTGTCAAATCAGGCAAGCTGCAGAAGTAGAAGTCTGGGGATTCCTGAGCTCGTCCGTTTCTCTGGCCATTCCTCTTGATCACTTGAAGAACGAGCACTGTGCGTCACGACGTTTTGCTACAGACATGGCGCAGCCACCAGTCGGAAAGATTTTGAGCCTCCCCCTCAATCCATTTTCTGCTGGTTTCTACCGGCGTATTGTGGGGAATTGTTGTTTTGATGTTGGGGAATGAAATCTAGAGTCGTTCGAGTTTATCGGCCCGTGTTCGGATTCACCGCAGCGTTTGAGAAACAGAGCTTGGAAATGAGCCACGGTGCTCCTTTCCTCAACAAACTTTGTTAGTCGAGAAAGCCCAGTACCAAATCAGAAACAAAAGCTTCGAAGCCTGAGGGGCATGCCCGCCAATATTGCTTCGCGTCTAAAAAGTAGTCATGCACATGTGCCTGAATCGGCCTCTCGAAGTTCATAACCGACAAATTCCACAGACACGAATACGCCTGCCTAGACGACAAAAAAGCAATCGTCTGGAAACAATAGTACCAGACTTGAAACTTGTAATGTCTTGCGAAGTTCCTTGAAAGTGCGGAATCAAAGAAGCGAGATTGACTTTCTAAGCTAAGCCATACATGCGGGGAAATAGCATATCCCGTCAATGAAACACAAGGTCTGATCAGTCTCATCTAAATTTACGGAATTCAGCAACGCTGTAGAGGCTCCACCGAATATGCACATGGCTAACTCTGATGAACTAGGATACACAAGAAGATCCGGCTTTACGCCTGGTGTACTGAAAAGCCTTTTTTTGGTGAGCTGCCTGAAATCTTGCATATCAATTTGTTTCAATGGACGTAACACGTGGATGATTCATAAGCTTTTATTACACGCCTGCACATTTTCTTTGGACTTACACCGCCTGGTTTGGTACTTCTGGGGGTGCGTGGTGAATTCTTGAAAGATGTGACCGTCTGTTTGATATTGTAAAGGTAGAACCGAGGGAAATGTCAGCTCCTAAAAAACATTCCCTGGATGTTTCGCTTGATCAGGTACTAATATACTTTGATGTCAAAAATTACAATATCACTTGATTTTAATCATCTTATCTCCGTTTAGAAGTACCAGCATTAGTCGATTACAAACCACTTATACTTCTCCAGATGTTCAGATAGCTGATATTTCCTAAAATATTTAGCCAAAGTACAACTAAATCACCTTCGGAGCTCGAACTTGTCGAAGAAATAAACCAGTCAACGAAAGAGACAACCTAGAGCCGATATAAGTGGAACTTGTGGAGCCTCTTGTTTCGACTGATACGCCAGGTCACGCGAACATGAGCTATGTGCTTTAGATTTGATAAGGATTATTCAGTCCGAAGATCGAAAGCCATAGCATGGATTAAGAAACAAGAGAATGGTGCCAGTCATTGGTTGTTCCAAAAAATATCTGCTGAGAATTTGGCCACGCATCAAGGCACCATTTTTGATCATTACGACAACTTGTAAACTCTACCTCATAAATCACCTGGAATTAGCTAGCGAAAACGATACTGTCTTTTATCGGCCCTACTGATTTATGCACCACCCCAAAGTCGAGCTCTCCGATATGGAGTCTTCATGGACTAGTCACACACTGTCAGCTAATGATTATCCGCCAGACTGAAGTATCAGCAAATTCTATGTTACTCAATCAACACTATCATGTCTTGAAACTTTGACACTTTGATGTACTTTTCAAATATCACCAAATAGACTATTTAATTTGGAGACTGTACCTAAAGTGAAGCTGCGCTCATCGAGAATACATCTAATACCAAACGATCTCATTCAATTGTTGCCCAAAAAGAAATCCACCCGTTCTACCACTAATTCGCGAATTATGTAGTAATTATCATTTTTCCAATAGTGGCACAACTGTGCCACGCGAGTCAACACTTGAAAAATCTCTAAATATCCAAAACATTCAACTGAGCCTCCACAACAGCGATTTGAATATAACAATAACAAGGGAGGGTTGAATTTGAGTGAAGCAATGTGATCGTATCAAGAGCTGAGTACAGGAACATTCCAAGGTGTACGAATAACTGCAGATAATTTTTAGACACCAAACAGGAGGGTTGATTAAAGTGAAGCGGAGAGCTGTTCCAATTCCACCAAAAAGACAAATTTCATCCCGAAGTATTATGCAAATATTGTGCCCGTGTGAGATCCAATGTCATAGTTTCAAACTGTATAAGCCATGGGGAAGCCAGTTCTCCGAAAACGCTCCCATTGGTAACTTGAAGGCCATCTCTTCTAATCTTGCACCCGATCATACAAGCAAAAAAAATTACCATTTATTTGATGGAAAAGAACACCTAGCCTTGCATCATATGGGTGAAACCTACCCTACAGTTATGATAAATAATACAGGAGTTTCCGCTATACAGCACCTAGACCATTTGGCCGAGGGCTCTTTTTTCACAGTCTTTCAACCCGGAACAAAAGAAACGAAATCGCCTGATTGAAGAAAACCCGCTATTTTGCCACAGGCATTTTCTCTATTTCAATACTTGTTGCCAGCACTGCATCCGCAATGCCCTGGATGACGCCACACAGTGCAGGACTGAAGGAGACGCAGATTGAGCTTTATGGAGTTACACGTGCCAAAATTGCCCCACGCTCAAGCAGGGCTTTGTTATACTTTAAGATCAGTATGTATGAGTGGGCTATATTATAGCAGTGCTCCGGATGGCCCGCGCCTGTATACAACGCCGAAGTGAGGCGTGTCAGCGCTATGTGCAAGACACGCAACCGGCTGCCAGTGCCGAAATTGTGGATGTGTGTTCCTGTGGATGTGTGTTCCTGTGGATGTGTGTTCCTGTCAGAAATCTAGGTAGGCTCTTGTGGACAGGCGGACAGCTGTGATCTCGCTAAAAGCGGCAGTGGCATTTTCTGGGTTTGTTAGTGCCCCTCCATATCCGTCAGTATGCAGAGACAGATCAGAACATCCGGGCCCAGTGTGCGCGCGTTTTCCCGCGGCACCATCCGGCCAAATCCTTACTCCTTCTTTTCTCTCGCTTATCATCTAAAAGTCCACTTTAAATATCTTTTTTCTCGAAAAAGCCAACGGAGTTTTGGCTGCTGAATCAGTAAAGGCTGCTGAACCCTTTTTTTTTTGCTGCACAAACCCAGACGGCCCGCTGACGCGCCCCTGAAATGTCATATTTTCGACCCGGCGGCTACCCCAGGTTTCGCTGTGCATTGTTTGCAGCCCGCCAAAAAATGCCCACGGGTGGCCGGACGCTCCACGTGACCACAAAGCGGCCTCAGTCACGTGCACAGGGCGCCGGCGCCCCCAACAGCGGAGAAGCCCCGCCGCCAGCCGCCCGCTTTGTGCACCTTCTCTTTGCCGCTGCAGGAGTGGCCGGCGGGTTTCTTGTGCTGGAGCTTGCCCGTGCACAAAACGCCCCCGGCGCTCCGCTGGAAGTTGCGAGCACAAACACGTTCGTGGCGCCGCTGGACCGCTCGACCGCGCCGCTCGCGTCCGTGCTGCTGCCCGTGTACGCGGACGAAGACGCGTTCGCCGAGGCCGTGGCCCAGTTCCGGCAGGCCGTGGGCGAGCAGAACGTGACGCTGGACAGCGTTGTCACGCGGCTGTACGCCGACTCGTTCTTCTCCACGCACCACCCGCCAAACCCCGACGTCCAGACGCCCTCCGTGGTGGTGTACCCGCAAAACACGGAGCAGGTGTCGCGGGTGTTGCAGATCGCGCACCACCACCGCGTGCCCGTGGTGGCCAGCGCTGGCTTGACGTCGTTGGAGGGGCACAACATGCACACGCGCGGCCCACGCTCCGTGGCCTTGGCGCTCGGCGGCTTGGACGAGGTGGTGCAGTTGAACGCCGCCGACTTGGACGTCACGGTGCAGGCCGGCGTCGGGTGGCAGGAGCTCGACGAGTACTTGCGGCTGAGCGAGGCCGGCAGGCACCTCATGTTCGGGCCCGACCCGGGCATGGGCGCCACCATCGCGGGCATGGTGGGCACGTCGGCGTCCGGCACCAACGCGTACCGCTACGGCACCATGAAGGAGAATGTGGTTAACTTGACCGTCGTGCTCGCGGACGGCACCGTGGTGAAGACGCGCCGCCGCCCGCGCAAGTCTCTGGCGGGCTACGACCTCACGCGGCTTTTCATCGGCTCCGAGGGCACCTTGGGCATCGTCACCGAGATCACCGTCAAGTTGCACCCGCGCCCGGCGCACGAGCTCGTGGGCATTGCTGCGTTTCCCAGCATCAAGGACGCTGCGGCCACCGCACAGACCATCCTCTCGCGGCTGGGCCTCCAGCCCAACGCCATTGAGCTCGTCAACGAAACCACCATGAGCTTTGTCAACGAAAGCGGCGTGCTGGACAAGAAGTTCTTGGAGACGCCGTCGTTGCTCTTGAAGGTCGGCGGCTACAACGACCGCGCCATCCGCGAGCTGTTGCATCTGATCGAGCAGATTGCCCGCGAGAACCACGTGATCCTGTTCGAGAAGTCCGCGTCTCCCGAGGACAACGACGTGCTCTGGGGCGCGCGCCGTGCCGGCTTGTGGCTGACGTTCGACTACGGCGCCAAGGTCTTGGAGGACAAGAACGACGTCCAGCTCTGGACCACCGACTTCGCGGTGCCCATCTCGAAAATGGCGCAGTTGATCGACGAGACCAACGCCGACTTGATTGCGCTGGGATTCCAGAACCGCTTCTCCGTGTTGGGCCACGTGGGCGACGGCAATTGCCATTTCCTCCTCTTGTACAACTCCAAAGACTACCACAAGACCAAGGCCGTGGTCGACCGCATGGTCGAGCGTGCCATCCACTACGAAGGCACTTGCACGGGCGAGCATGGCGTGGGTGTGGGAAAGAGGGCCTACGTCGAGGCCGAGCTAGGCACCCCGGCAGTCGACTTGATGCGCCGGTTGAAGTTCGCCTTGGACCCTCGTGCGATCTTGAACCCAGACAAGGTGTTCAAGATTGACCCCCACGAGAATTTGGACGAGTTGTTGAACTCGGGCCACGTGCTTGAGAACCCAAAGTGCTGCTAGAGGAACACGCCAATGGTTGCGAGCGGCTCACTCTCTTTACTTTCACGAGTGCTGGTGTTGCAGAGCATGCAGATGCGGGCGAGTGGACGTCTGCTTGCAAGCAGAATTGTGTGCGAGCGTTCGAAGGACTGGACGACCAAGGACAGAAGTATCCTCACGTTGATTGAGAAGATATACAAGAACACTGTTATATAGACATTTGTGCATTGACTTCTGTCTCTGCACGCAAGCTAGTGCCCGATGTGAAGCAGACAGTGTCTCTTCAATGGCTTTTCGAGTATTCATTAGCAGTGGCACAGGGACATATGACTTGCTTGGTACCAAGCTGTCCTCAATTTCATGGGTATTACAAGGGCTCGGACCAATGATGGGGTCTGTGTCCAGGGCTGCGGCAGTCATGGCCATTGACCCTTTTGACGGTGCACTCGAGCAGTTACACAAAAAGACTCACGGCTTCTGATCACAAGGATTCACTAAGTTCCCGAGGCTAAAGTCAATACCCAGAACGGCAAATTAGCGGGGCCAGTCTCAGGACTTCCGCCATATTGGATGTTTTGGGTAAGTTGCTCTGTATCAGGTCAGAAAGTCAAACAGAATTTCCAGGGCCAACTTCAGATGACTCAACCATCCTTATTTCTACTCACAATCTAGTCCCGAGTCTGTATTCGCCATACAGTCTACAGAATTCAACCGGTCAACGGTTGCTCGCGCTCAGCTTCCGTTTCTGGCCGCGCAGTGCGCTCATCCGCGTCTTCGAGAAACAACTTCAAAAATCCACCACTGTCTCGACACCCTTCCGCCAGTTTTTCCAGCACAGCTCCAATCGCGAACATCTCCGTGACACCTTGCTGCTGGAATCGAAAGAGGGGACACGGTGCTCGCACTACGCTGTATACCCATATCTGGTCTCTCCCCACGCTGTACCATGACAAGCGAAAAGCCAGAGCTGAAGGCGCTAGAGCTTTCGTACATAACCACCAAGCTGCACTGCTTCAAGCAAAACCCAGACCGACCAAAAGCGGCTAACCGCAGGTTTAAAACGGGCAAGCAGCTCATGGCCGACGAGCTCCGGTATCTCCAGAGCAAGAAACTAGGAATCGACACGCCCACATTCTTGCTGATTTCGGCGCCGCCGAGTCTCCGGCCCAAGAAACACTACTGTGATATCACGGGTCTCGAGGGCAAATACCGGGCGCCGCTGAGCCAGCTCCGGTTCCACAATGTCGAGATATATCAAGAGGTGATCCGGCACATGTCCCCCGGGTTTGACCAGGAATACTTGAGTTTGAGGGGTGCCAATGTGGTGTTGAAGTGAGGAATGCCAATGTGGTGTTGAGGTGAGGCCTGCTAGAATGATGTGTGCTGAGATTTTGGAGCTTAGAGCAAGCGGATGAACGTGGTGCCTTGGGTGCAATGTGAGATTGGGAAAGGGCTCGCTAGCGCATAATGTGCAAACGGATGTTTTTCTGTGTTTGAGTAAGTCTCGCTGGGACTGGCCAAAGAAGTGTGTTTTTCAAAAGACGAGGCTTTGCGGTCAGTTGGTATGTCGGCAGTGAAAGCGTTGCATCAGACTGAGAACACCCTGGGGGTTGTATGTGAAGCAACCGACAAGTGGCAGGTAAAATGAGGCCAAACCAGAAAACAGGTGATTGTCATTTGAGCCTACGCCCGTGAGACAGGTCTCAGACCACATGGACTGTGTGGTCTTGGTCTTGTTTGTATGTTATTTCAGCTTACCTAACTTGAATCTAGGTCCAGGTGCCGCCCAAACTGAGGTTCTTGTTGCTCAAGGTATGTATTTATGACTGGATCTATGAAGTGAGCTCACTGTGTATGTTGGATGGGTGGTGGACCATGGAGTCTCGCTGAGTCATGGAGTCTTCTTTCACCATCAAGTTTTTGATTCATGGTGATTTGTTGATTCTGGCTGTTTGGAAAAACGTCATGTCCAAACCAGAAGGACCAATGCCGTGTGCGAAGAAAATGGAAGACAAACCCCAAACTGACATTTCAAACGCCCCGTCCTCTCACAACACCCAGGAATCGCCGCAAAGACCGGCCTTCCAAAAGGAGTTCTCTGCTGCCGCAGCTTCATCGTCTTCATTCTCTTTTAATTTAGTAAATGTATCCCCCTGATGCGGAAATACGTTGAAAGAACGCAATCTGCTGAAACCTTGCATATCTTTTGTTCTGGGCCGGATAAATACCAGAATCGATGGGATTATCCCGCCTCTTAAACCGTGGGTCCATACCCAACTCCAAGCGAAGTCTCGACGCTACCGGCTAATCAAGTACATGAATTCCCGGGTCAGTGGAGTTGTGTGTAAGTGACTAACATCAATCGTCTCTTCATCAGGTTCAATTATCTCGACGATATTGTAATTCGATTGGCCCGCAACTGAATCTGAGAAGTAGAAACATTTAATTCTTGTTGCACCTGACCATTTGCCATTCTGCCTGTTTAATCCTCTGCCGATTTTCCAGGGCCTCTTTTGAATGTAACGACTTGCGTTGTCCCCACTGTCTTCTAGTGTTTTTGAAAAAGGATCTCTAACTTCAAGCATTAGTTGAGGATGAGATGGAATATTCAATTGCCAATAGCAGAGACTAAAATCAGTTGAATCGATACTGTCTAGGACGTAAAAATGAAGAGTATACACCGGCAGTATATGAATCAACTGATCAGCTAGTTCGACGAAATATTCCCTCAGATCTAATTGCAACTGGAAAATTGCAATTAAATTTTGCTTGGTCAAGTAAGATAAGAGCCATACTCAGATGTATTGTGCAAAAGGCAATTCACTTATTGTTAGACGACTAGCCCTTTTATAATTGGCACCGCCGCATAGTATAGACACAACGTCTACTCGTCACGCACATGTGGTTGTCGTCGAAACACCCTTGATCTGGATATTTGGATCACTGGCCAGAGACGGCACCAGCTTCACAGAAAGAGGTGTTTTCGAAGTTTGTAGCTTAGTTTTCAAGCAATAGTCACTATTGGGCCTCAGATTCCCGGGATGTTTCAGCTGTTTACGTAAGGTAGCCTCTATCCCCTCTTGTAGACTGTTGTCTAGTGGCATCGCCAGTTCAGGAGGAAACACATTTTAGGTCAACTTTGGGAGCTCGATTTTCCAGCCGGCATACCGGTTGTTTTCCACATACCGGTCGTTTTCCAGATACCAGTTGTTTTCCAGATACCAGTTGTTTTCAAATACAAGTTGTTTTCAAATACCAGTTGTCTTCCAAATACCGGTTGTTCCAAACACCGGTCATTGCAAATACCGGTAATTTTCAAATGCCGATCGTTTTTCAAATACCGGTCATTCCAAATACCGGTAATTTTCCAAACACCCGTCGTTCCAAATACCAATCACTTTCCAAATACCAATCACTTTCTAAATATCGATTGTTCCAAATACCAATCACTTTCCAAATACCGATTGTTCCAAATACCAATCACTTTCCAAATACCAATCGTTCTTTGAGCCGTCACCCAATACTCAGCCAATGTGCGCTGTGTCTGAGCAACAACAGCAGGCCCAAACCCGCCCCTCGGATGTTGCCGGAGATTCACAGGCTCCAAGTACAAACCCTGCAATCGCCGGGAAAGGCACCAACACCCAGCCTACTTTTCCCAGTCCCCCACAAGTGCATGCATGCGCCGCTCAAACGCAGGGGTGTGGAGCATCTGCTCACAATCGCCAGCACTGGAAACGTCCGTGAAAGGGTTGCAGACTGTCTTCAAATAGGCCCTGTGGATGCGCAGAAAAAGCAGGCGCAAAGCCGGGCGGGCGCCGATCTCGTTGCTGGCGCCCACCACCACCTTCAAGCCATTGTTGGTTTCCATGCCGTACACATAGACGTCGTCCTGGATGAAAAGAAGCAAGACGCCGTCGTGGTCTTCCTGCTGCTCGCGCAAGTGGAGTGACATGGGCGACGCAAAGACGTCAAGTGCCATGTGTGATAGGAAGTTGTATTTGAGGAACTGGCCGGCGTGCTGGGGCAGGGCATGGGCGTTTTCGGCGCCCTCAAAACTCTGGATGTAGAGCGGCTTGTCGTCTCGAGAGACCAAGGACACAAAGAGCACCGAGGCCGATTTGGCGGCAGTCGTTTTTGCAGCAGTCGGCGTTTTTGGGGCTGTCGACATTTTGGCGGCAGTTGACGTATATAGTATATAGGGTGCTACTGGCTAAGACAGGCTGTGCGGTGCTGAGCCTAGGTATATGCTTTTTGATGTTCGGTGTTTTGATGTTTTTGTGTTTTGATGTTCAGTGGTTTGAAGTTCTGCTTTTTGAAGTTCAGTGTTTTGAAGTTTTGCGTTTCCTTGCTGCGTTTTCTCTCCTGCCTTGAACGGGACGAGGTTCCGGGTTGACGAGAGTTGTCGAAGAAAGAACGGTTGTTTCTAGAAGGCCGCGGCGATGTCGCAGCCTCGCACCCAGTTTATTAGCCAGAGACTGCGGCGAGAGGAAACGGGATACCACGAAGGGTGCATTTTGGGTCCATGTGGCCAGTTGCAATTTTAATGCGTATGGCCAGTCTGTATGGCCAATTGCTTTTCTGTTCTTGTTCTGGGCTGGAAAGAATCACGGGGATCCAAAATACCTAGTTTGTATTGATGGCCACGGCCTGCGCACTGTGATTGATTTGGTCGGTATATGAGGGCATCGCGATTAAGACGATATCCCAGGCCAGCCACATGATGGTTTCTGTGGGTGTCTGTATGGGCGAGATCTCATGATCTTTTGTGTATAAATCGTGGAAGTCAGAAGGAGGTACCTTTATTAGGACTAGTATGAGGTCCTTTATGGAAGGATTATAGGGTCCAGCATGAGGTCCATTATAAGGTCCATTAGAAGGTCCACCGTGAGGTCCATTTACTAGGTACATTATATGGTACCTTTATTAGTTATGTCTATTAGGTAGATTTATCAGGTTCATTATGAGGTCCAGTATGAGGTCCAGCATGAGGTCCTTCATGGATGAATTATGAGGTCTATTATGAGGCCTAATATGAGGTGTGTATCGAGGCCCATAATAACGTCCGTTATGAGGTCCATCACGATGTCTATGTGAAGTACATTGATTAGGTCCACTATGCGGTCCATTTAAGGAGCACATTTATTAGTTAAGTTTATTCGGAGCATTTATTAGATTCTGAGGTCCACTACGAGGTCCTTTGCGAATGAGTTATGACGTACAGTATGGGGTCCATTGACTTTTAGGTACATTTATTAGGTCTATTATGAAGTGCATTATTTTTGGAGGTCCATTCCGAGGTCCATTACGAGATCAGCTATAATGCCTATTTTGAGGCCCGCTATAAGGCCCGCTATAAGGCCCGCTATAAGGCCCGCTATAAGGCCCGCTATAAGGCATAATGTGGTACATTATGAGGTCCATGATGAGGTTATTATAAGGACCACGATGAGGTATGAGGTCCACTACGAGGTATGAAGTCCACTACGAGATATGGGGCACACTACGAGGTTTGAGGTCCACTGCGAGGACCATTATGAGATCCATCATGATGTCGATGTGAAGTACATAATTGGGCCCACTATGTGGTCCATTGATGAAGCACATTTCTCAGTTACGTTCATCGGGCCCCTGAAGAGGCCCACTATAAGGTCCACTATAAACATGCTTGGTTTCTATCAGGACCTTCTTGATATGGAATCTGTGCGAGTGGAAAACCCTCATCTCGAGACCATTTGGCATGAAGATGTACACAAACTTGCAGTACATCAGAATGTTGAGTACGGTCAGCAAAAAGCCAAGTTTATGAGGTGGTTTTTATTCGATCTCCTCTCATGCGAGGGGAAGTACACGCATACAGCACGTTTTGGCTTGAATATGGCTTACACGCGGCAGATGGCACACGGTTACCTAATTACTCGGCCTTGGTTTGAAATATAGGGTCCACCACCAGGTCCATTATAAGGCCCATTATTGGGTCCAGTATGAGGAAGGTTCTTTATGAATGAAACTGAAGTCTATCATGAAGTTCATAGCGAGGTCCATTATGAGGTCTATTGTGAGCTACATTTAGTAGGTACGTTAAGTGGTACACTGTGAGGTACATTTATGAGGTACATTTATTAGGTGAATTTATTTGGAGCATTTATCAGGTCCACGATGAGGTGTATTATGGGGTACATCATGATGTCAGTTGTGAAGAACATTTGGTCCAGTATGAGGTCCATTGTGAAAAACAATTATTGGGTACATATATTAGGTCTATTATGAAGTCCATTATAATTGGAGGTACATAAAGAGGTCCATACAAGGTCCATTACGAGGTCCATTATGAGGTCAGCTTTAATGCCCGCTATGAGGCCCACTATAAAGTCCATTATGATGACTCAATGAGGTCCACCATAGGGTCCATGATGAGGTCCATATAAGGTCCAGCATAAGGTCCACTGTAAGGAGGATCCACTATAAGAAGGATCCAGACGAGATCATTTACGAGGCCCGCTTTCTACTATAAGGTCCATAAAACGTCACTGTAAGGTCAATATAATCCATATAAGGATACAAGGAAAAAGGCCCCAAAAATGCCCATCATGAATGGACTACCAGTGAGCCATAAGTCTCCTACATTGCACCAAATAACCTTGAGCTACCATAGCAAAGGCACGATCTCAGACGGTGCCTCACACTACACTGCATTCTTGGTACCAATCGCTCACATGTAAAACCAAGCCCCTCCCGCCTCAAGTCCGGATACTCTGGTCTCTTCTCCTCATGATGGCTAGGCTACAAGAATTGGCGATACCAGCAAAAACGCCCCGTGATGTACTGTGACTTGACACGACAAAAGCGCCAGCATCCTACACAAGATAGACCGGGGCCATACGAGCCTCAGTTCCGAGCCTCAGTTCCATCTCTCACCAGAACACAGACTCTTTTCTCCTTTTTTTTCTATAGATTCACTATATCTAGAACAGTTTTTCCCGAGCCCTAGGACGACGGTGTTTTTGGCTGTTTGGAGTCGGGACTCTCGAGGCACGAGCACTCATCCAACGGAGACTGGAGCCCTTTGCAATCCTCGCCCGGCCAAGCCAATCACACCACATAAAACAAAAAAACACCCCAAAACACCCCAAAACACCCCGAAACACCCCAAAACACCCCGAAACACCCCCACAGCTTGCGCCGCAAAAGCCCCGAAAAAGAGATTCGTAGACCCGGCCGGCTTATCGGTGCAGACCGCAGGGCCAAACCTGGACGCGCACTCGCGGCCTCACTATCTGCGCCCAAAGATCCATCCATTCTTTCTTCCCTTTCTTCCTCAGAAGCCCCACTTGGACACAAACACCAGGTCCTGGCGCTTCTTGGATGGCCGTTTGTTCTGGAGCCCCCGCAGAACCCCGAAACCCGCCAATCCGCCGCGGCCCGCCTGTGCCTGGTCTTGCACACCGCCCATTCTCACCAGACCAGAATCATAGACATTTCACCGGGCCTTCCTGGCGCATACAACATCGCCGGCCCCCTTTTTTTTAATAAAAAGACACTGCGGACGCCCTCAACACCAAAACCCGGCCTGAAGCAACGCCGGTTCCGCTGCTTGCACGCCCCGACCTGCGCCCCCACAGACGCCCCGAAATGGCATCCAACGTGTCGCCGTCGTCGCAGAAAGTGGACGACTTTCTCTCGAAAATCTCCCAGCTCTCGCAGGACCGCTTGAAGGAGAACCAGAAAACACGCCGCAGTCTCCAGGCGCACGTCGCCGCGCCCCGCCACAGCGTGCCGCCCGACGGGCCGGATTGGTGTGCGTCCGGCGACTTTGGAGTCAGCCAGCTCTCGTTCAACCGCGCCGGCCGCGGCCCGCCCGTGCCCGGAGGCGCCCAGAGGCCGCCTGCGCCGACCCCGTGGCGAAAAACGGACGCCAGCACCGAAAACCGCGCGCCGAAGGGCCTGCCGGACGACCCACACGGCCCAAACGGCGAAAAACGGCCGCAAAACGCCGCCGCCGTGCCGCCGCACCGTGCCCCGGCCTTTCCGCAGAGGCCGCCGCGCAAGCCTGAGCATTTGCGTGTCCCGGAGCTGTCTGGGGGGCCCGAATCGCCCACAACATCCGACCAGCCGGGACCATCCGACCAGCCGGGACCATCCGACCAGCCCAAAACACCACTGCGGCCCCACAAGCCCTCCGGCCTCTCCGGCACGGAAACACAGACACAGCGCCGGCCCCGGGCAGTCCCGGCGGCACGTGACCAGCCGTTCCCCGGGCTTCTACGTCCGGTGGCAAGCAGAGGGTCTGCGGCGCCGTTCTCGAAGGCCGGCCAGCCCACTGAACACGGCCGTGATTCCGCGTTTGTGGCTACCCGAAACAGCAGCACGCCGCCGGAGCAGCGGCCGGCCGGAATCGCGACATTCGGCGACATCGAGAACAGAACCACGCCCCGCCCTGCTCCTCTGGCGGCGGCCACCCCCGTTTCACATGCAGGGCGGCAGCCGGATTCGGCTACGCCCATCTGGAACCCGGCCTTGAAGCCCGCTATGCCGGCCAGGCCGCTTAAACCCACGCTCCGCTCGTTCGAGAGTAACGACACCGAGCTTTTAAAAGACCAGATCCGGCGCCTCTCGCCCACAAAAGCTCGGCCGGCCGGAAGGACACGGCCAGAAAGCCCGGTGCCGGACGGCGCCTCCGAAACCGGCACGACTCCTGCGGCCGCTGCCCGGCCAGGCCCCGAAACGCCGCACGGCTTGAGGCCCTTGAAACCTTTGAAACCAAAGGCCTTGCTCCACGAGCCCGAGGCGATGCTTGCACGGGGGAATCTCCGCAAACTGCCGCCAAAACACCCTGAGCCCGAATGCGTACCGGAGGCGCTTCAAAGACTCCAGGCATTGCGGCCCAAGCCAAAGACGTCTGCAAGGGCAAACGACAGCATCGGACCGAATGGGGGCACAGGAAGGAATGGGGGCACAGGAAGGAATGGGGATATAGGAAGGAACGGGCAGATGGGAAGGAACGGGCAGATGGGGACCATTGGGGAAATGCCCAACCTCGGAAACGGAAGCACCACCAAGCCTTCGTTTGAGCGCCCCACCAAATCCCAGCCCGCAGCGGTTCCTGGGACTGTCAAATATGGGCCGGCAGACCCCGCATTTCTGCACCCGCAACCCGTGGATTTCCAAGCGCATCTTGCCAGTATCATCCGGGCGCAGACAGAGCCTTCTGTGAGCACACTGACAAAGACTAAGCCAGTCCCCGATTTACAAAGGGCAAGCACTGTACCGGAAAACGGCCAGAAACTTGCCCACCCAAACAAGTCTCGTGCCCGAGGCCCCAAGCGGAAACTCCCCAAACAGGGCTCGAAGCCGCCCCTGGATAATTTGTCGAACCCGCGAGTGCTGGGTCTTGCACCAACGGCAACAATGCCCAGCCAAAAGGAAGCCATTATGAATACAGGGAAGAAGGTCATTTCTGAGAACACCCAACCACCACTGGGCGTGGCGGCACCTATAAGTGGTGCTACGGGCATGTTGCCTGTCAAGCCAAAGAAAGTGCCTCCTCCCGTAGCACGGAAACCCAACTTCGAGATAAGACCGAGGAAGATCAGTGGTGAGTTGTTTCTCTAGAATCGGCGCTCCGTAACACTCCGAATCGACTTCTGATGTACCACACACGATTAGACAATCCCCAATGACTTTTCTACTGCTGCCCCATGCGTGCCTTTAATGCAGCTACAAGCTCGGGTTTCAAGTGAGCACCGAGTGTTTGAGATATTGGCCTCTCTTTTTTTTGTCCACTACCTCATGTGCTCCTCTTACTTGTATACCGTTGTTCATGAGCCAACAAGCTAGAAATGGTCTCCACGTGTCTTGTCAGCTGACGACAGCAGCAAGGCTAAATAAGTGATGACAGCAACAAGGCTAGATATGCGAACCTGTCATGGCTATGGTCAAAGCAATGGAGTTGGTTTGTGTGATTTGATGTTTCCTTCACCAGCTGTAACAGAGACTGGCGCAACAGAATGGCTCAGACGTGAGCATTTTAGGATGCAATGTCCAACATGCAGCAAAGGGAAGAGCAATTTGAGTTCAAGATTCTTTCAATAGGGGAGTCCGGTGTCGCTGTTTCTTGGTAGCCACCAAAGTTCGATGCAACTGTTCGCTGTGATTGTTGCTGGTCATAAGATGACTTATGGTTTGGATGTTATATCTAGTGCACCCAGCTGAATCTTTGCAGATGCAATAACGGGCTCCTCACACAGTCACCGGCACCCGAGCCTACCTTGTGAAAAATGAATGGTTCAATGCGCTTTGAAGTCTTCCCTCATGCTCTTCCAAGTTAGCCTTCGGCAGCCAGAAGCATGCGTAGGCGCCGCCCAAAAAAGCTCAGAAAAGTCCAGATGCTCCAACTCTGAGCCCAATCTCGAGCATTTCACTCGCCTGCCCTTTGTTGCGTACTGGTCACATGTTGGCCAATATAAGATGACGCATTCATTCCCCAAGAGGCGACTTTTTACACGCTTCACTTCTGTGCTAGATATGCTTCGAGCTATAACAGTGACCTCGAGCCGTGAACCCCGAGTGTTCACTCCAGGATTTCCTTAGCGTTAATTTCAAAATCCAAAATCCCGACGCTTGGTGTCCTGACCGCAAAGTATTCTACCCCTGCCAGACTCGACACGAGAAGCACCAAAAGAACAAAGCCGTTTGGAAGAAAAATAGCCGGAAATACCTCGTTTTATATTGGAGGTGTCTGAGCTGGAGGCTGTTTGTTTGGCAGTTTCAGAAATTGGTGACCATTTCCAAGAGTGTACAAGAACATGTCCAATTTTGAGTGAGGTTCGCCGGCTGTTCCATGTTAGAAATTGAACCCTCTTGGCCTCAGATCTTTTCCAGAGCCAACTGTGCAGTAAGATGGAGTACCTGCCAAAGCTTCGGAACTATACTTCTGAGGAATTGAGGGTAAGTACTTTCAGAAACTTCTCATTGGTGGGCCATAGTAGCAAAAGACACCGACAGCTTTCGTTAAGAAGAATGGTTCGTGGGGGATTTGCGGCGTGTGAGAACTCCGGTTGGTCCGATCAAATCGTATTGATATCAGCTGCAGTTCCCAAGTTTTGGACGAGTTCTTGAAGCTGAGAATAGAACATATTGCAACTATCATCTAGCCTCGAAAAACGTTTCAATCGATTCTACGAAATGGATACCGTTCCTTCTTTCAAGTCTTTTGAAAGCAGATCCACAAGTTGGATGAATCCAGAAGCTCTTGTGAAAGGATGTCTGTGAGGCATACATGGCGTTTCGGTTTGACATGAGCTTGGCCCTGCAAAAGTTTCTTAGAACCTCTGATACCTGATATGAATCCTTGGAGGTGAATTTGCTCTAGTGACCAGAAAACCGAAAGAATGTCTCAGGAAATATTTAAGTGGTGCCACGGACGCGAGTTAATTCGGAGGAGACTAAGGAGTGCTCTAAAGTACCGGCACTTTCATCTGCCGGGTTGAGGCCACAGCAGTGGAATCCATCTGTGACAAATCTTGAATAGGGGCAGTCATACCAATAAGGCATCAATCAATGGCATGAGCCGTGTAATAGGCCTGTTCTAATTTGAAACAAACGAGGTCCTGTTACAATTCAGGAACAAACGATGTCTTGTTATAGTTTAGGAACAAACGTATCTTGTTATGGTTTAGGAACAAATGATGCCCTGTTATAATTCAAAAACCGACGTCAAGTTGCAACTCAAGGAAAAGCCAGTCTCCATATAAAAAATCATCCCGGCCTCATACAGAGGATATGGAATTTCCAGTGTAAGGGTAAGTGCAACTCGAGCCACAATCACAGTCAACAACTGTGTGACCCAGAAATTGGCGTACCGCCAATTGATACATCGCAACAAAGTACTTCAATATTTTATATTACAACACTATCTTACATGGCACCGATGCACGTGAGACCAACCATACCAGCCACCAACAAGCCCTTTTTCCACGAGCCGCCCGCAGCATGCTCCGCGCCAGAGTCCAGACTCGACGATGTGGCGGTACTTGTGCCGGATCCAGAACTAGAAGCGGTAGTGGAGGAGCTTCTCATGGTAGTGATGGTGGAGCCGCCGGTCAAGGCGGAGGCTGCGTCCAGAGCAGATACGGTGTTGAAAATGTCGCTGTTCCCCTGCGAGGTGACACTATTGAGGCCGGACTGTGCCTGCGCAATGTCGGAGCGCACGTCAGAGGCCGCGCTGGTCGCGACGCCCACGATGACCGAGGTGAACCTCTGGCCATTGCTCTCGAAAACCGAGGTCACGGTTTGCGCGCCTGCAACCGCGCCGGAAGTCACCTGGTCAAACACCGAAACCGCACCCCCGGTGACTCTGGTTGCGATCTGCCCGCCCTCGGAAGTCACCTCCCCAAAGACGGAAACTGCACCCGATGTGATCTGGTTGCCAATGGCGTCGCCGGCTGAAGTGATGGTGTTGATGATGTTACCGACGTCCGAAAGAATATTCATGTTTGTGTCGTATATTTGGTTTGCGTGTAGATTTGCGGATTCGATTGATTGCAAAGTTATCTAGTGGTAGACTGTAAGGTACGGCAAGTTTGAGAGTGCTCAGAAATACTGGCTGTCAATAATTGAACCGGGAAACTGATACTTAAATGCTAGAAAAAGAAAATCGGCCCACACATCAGCCCGGGAGTCGCCGAAATATATATGCTACCCCACATGTGCATCTTGAAGGATCCGGTATGACGGAACAGCCTGGAACTTCGGCTGTGGTCGGATCGCGGCCGCAAAAACAACGTGCGGACTGCACACAGGCTGTTTACGTGTGACTGGGCCTGGCTGGCTGGGACCATCACACACTTTTTAGAGAACGTTGGCGAAAAGCGCAAAATATATATTTTCAATCGTGGCACAGCGTTTTGGGGCAGCCTGGATCACGTGCTGCAAGGGGGACTCATTGCTGCTTAGTTCAGAAAATAAAAGTGTGATTGCAAGAGTAGCGCTCAGAGCAACCTACTCAAGCCAAACAAGCAATGTTATATTTAGTCTTCCATGAGTATCAACTAAGCAACCTGACAGGTAATCATGCGCAAGGACAAGTACGGCCAAAGTGCCAAGAAGCTAGCTATTCATCTAGAAGTTCATAGACGCGGGCTATTTTTAGCCCTCGAAAACAGGGCTTGGTTTTAAAGACCTCCTCAGCCCTGTCATCCCCAGGCTGTGCTGCATTTTTGTGCGAGACACGAGACCGACAACTAATCGGGCCACCAGGAGTCACGTGATGGGCAACATCGCGGGCAGAAGTGAAAATAGAATGAATCTGAACTAGCCGGTTTTGGTCAGGTCATACATATAGCCAGGGAATAATTAGGTGATGCCAGGTCAGGTGATGCCAGGTTAGGTGATGCCAGGTCAGGTGATGCCAGGTTAGGTGATGCCAGGTCAGGTGATGCCAGGTTAGGTGATGCCAGGTCAGGTGATGCATGACCAGGGAGTAGTTGGGTGATGTCTGGTCAGATGACGACTGGTCAGGTGATGTTTGGTCAGCTGATTTACCACATGACGTCTGCCTATCCACGCGCACGGTTTCCTTGATCAAGTTATCACGTGACGCGCGTCACGTGCAGAAATCTTCTAGATCGGGATATCGAATCCGCACCTCTGGCGCAAACACGCACCCAAAGTGGCAGCTGGATCCGACACTTATCGCGGTAAAAGTGATAAGTAGAATCTACAATCCACAAATGGGATTTTCAAATCCATCCCATCAAATTTCAAACCTCATTCCCATATATCTTTCAAATGTCTTGCTGTTCCAAAAACACCGTTTCTGCACCTGCACCCATCACGCCTGTTACTGCTGCTGCTAAAATCAACAAGAATCAAAGCTGCTGTGGCTCTCTGCTGTCCATCTGCAAATGTGGGTCTGGATGTGAATGCGTTTCTTGCAACACCACCAAGCTTTAAGCCTCTGCTCATCTCTCGTCTGATGTATCTGTCCAGAATGCGATGACGGGTGTTTAGTTTTTATAATTTATAAATATATCGGAATTGTCGGGGTTATTCATTGTAGTCACATTCGAGACCCACGGGCCAACAGACTAAGGACACCGTGATATTCAATCACGCTTGCCATTCCCTGATGTTCAAGATTCCCACGTACACATTTGATATTTCGTTAGGTTTGGTATTTCCTCATATAGAATGTTGGCCTTGCGAACACAATTCAAAAAAAGGCATCGTTAACCAAAAGCATCATCCCGCACTCACTTGCGCGACTCCTCAAGACCCTTCTTGATGGCTTGTCCCAAGTCAGGGTGCACCTTGGTGAAGTAGGCCACGACTCTGTCTTGGATAGGCACATCGGCCGCCGAGGCATGGGCGACAACATTGTGGGCCAAGTTCTCCTGCTGGCCTGGGGTTCTGGCCAAAACGTGCCACAAGTCAGTGGCTTGCTTGAATTCGGCGTCCGTGGCCTTCCAGTGGAAAGGACAGGCGGCGCCCTCCCAGACCTCCTGGTCTTCTTGAAGACTGAATCTTTCCGTGGCAAAGTTGTTGGCGGCAGAGTAGTAGTTGGGCGTGCTGCCCATGTTGCCGTTGACCAGCATGGCGCCGTCTCTGATGTGTGGGTGGAAGGCCCCAGTCACGGGGCAGTTGACTGGGATCTGCTGATAGTTGGTGCCCAATCTGTGTCTGTGCGTGTCCGGGTAGGAGAACAAACGGGACTGCAAGACGGGGTCGGCCGAGGGCTCCATGTAGGGCACGGAGTGCGATGGCGAGAAGGCCACCTGCTCCACCTCGGCAAAGTAGTTCTTAGGGTTCTCGTTCAAAGTGATCTTGCCGAAGCGGCGCAAGGGGAAGTCCTTCTGGGGCCAGACCTTGGTCAAGTCGAAGACGGAGAAGTCCACGTGCTTGGCCTGCTCGGCCGTCATGGTCTGAATGTAGCAGGTCCACGAGGGGTGATTGCCCTTGGCGATCTCCTTGAACAAGTCCTCCTGCGCGTAGTCCGGGTTGGAGCCGGCCAAAGCGCCGGCCTCCTCGTTGGTGAGCGTCTTGAAGCCCTGGTCACTCTTCAAGTGCACCTGCACGTAGTGCCAGTCGCCGTTCTTGGTGGACCACTTGTAGGTGTGGCCCGAGTAGCCGTGCATCTCGCGGTACGAGCGGGGCGTGCCGCGGTCCGAGAACAAGATCATCACCTGGTGCGCGGACTCCTCGTTGCTGCACAAGTAGTCCCAGAACATGTTGGCGTCCTTCAAGTGGGTCTGGGGGTGTCTCTTCTGCGTGTGGATGAAGTGGGGGAACTTGGTGGGGTCGCGGAGGAAGAACACCGGCGTGTTGTTGTACACAAAGTCCAAGTTGCCCTCCTCCGTGTAGAACTTGACGGAGAAGCCACGGGGGTCTCTGGCGGTGTCGGCGGAGCCAGACTCGCCGCCCACGGTGGAGAAACGCGTCACCACCTTGGTCTTCTTGCCGACGGTGTCCAAGAACTTGGACGAGCAGATGTCGGAAATGTCGTCCGTCACCTCGAACACACCGTAGGCGCCGGAGCCCTTGGCGTGCACGACACGCTCGGGGATTCTCTCCCTGTCGAAGTGGGCAATGGAGTCGATGAAGTTGAAGTCCTGCAACAACAAGGGGCCGTGCTTGCCGATTCTCTGGGACGCCATGGGGTCGGGCACGGGGCAGCCGTTGGTGTTGGTGTATACAGGTGCCATGGTTGGAAGAGGAGCTGGGCCGGGGCTGGTGTGGTGGTGTGGTGTGGTTTGGAAGTGTGGTGTTTTACTGGGTGGTGGAACTGGTGCGTCGGGGCCTCAGTGTGCGGTAGAAAATAATGAGATTTAGGGCCAGAAAACCGGGGGCCCCCGCCGCTTTATATATGGCCGAACGGCAGCCGTGGGCCTGGCGCCAGATTGCGGGGTGGGAATCCAGGCCCCGCGGTTAGTAAGCCGCGGCCTGCGGGCCAGGGCCAATAGCAGCGCGCGCTTACTCACCGGCGTTCTCCGCTGGTGAGACATGCATGTGCGTCGCGCCGCGCGGCAGCAAGCGTCGGGCCAGGTGGGCAGATTTGTCATGTTTCTAGGGCGAGGCCCTGAGCGCGGGGTTCCATGCGGGCTGCGAAAAGTAGAGAACGAGCAGAGGGGGAGGTTGGGAGATGAGGGGAGATTGGGGGCAGATGGGGGGGG